TTGCTGTATTTTTGTGTGGAAATGGGTGGAAGTTAACTCCTCCTAAAGCTTGCAAAAGCTAACAGTTCATTGGAAAAAATCTGTTACTTAATTCAATATTATGATTCTTATGTTAATACTTAAGTGTTTATTAAAAAAATTTCTCTTCTAGTGTTGGCACTCACCAGAGTTACCAGGAAAGTCACAATTTCAACTTCAACAGCTATTATTCTCATGGTGTCACTTCAGCTATTTATCATCCCGACCACAGGTGAAAAATGGTCAATTTTAATTCTTTGCAACCATGTTTTTTAAAAAGCAGCAGTCGGGGTCAAGGGCCCCTCTTTAACTGTCTGTTGAACACGTTGGGCTGTGCAGGAAATGTTTAATGTTCTAAAAATGTTTGTTTAGTATGATTTAGTAATTTTAATATCTACAATATGACCAAATAAATTGAAATTTTATCCATAATTACCTTTTAATGATGTTGAATTCAGTTCATTAAACACTTGATAAAGAATTCAGGAAACTTGAGAGGTAATTTTGAAGTTTGCATTGATTAAAACATTCAATTTGGTCTGGGATGCAGATTTAAAAGTCTGTTTTAAAATTTACGATTAAGCTAGGGGTAACCACGGTATAATTAAAAAGCATTCGACTTTTCTCATGTGTAAAAGAGAAACTCATTAATGCTGCATTAAGATTCAAATTTGTGATCACGCAGGCTACTGTTGGTAGGAGGCTGTGAAACCAGTGAAGAAGGAGTCGCTAAAGCAACCAGCTGTGGTATAACTGCTTGGAGAGTTCTGTCTGGAGCACCATATTACAAGCAAGTCACTGATTATGAGGATGATGTTGCTGCTGTAAGTAGCGAATTTGGTGTTTTTCCCACTGCCTGGACAATTGTTGAGTGTAGCTCCAAGATTAAATGGACATTATATTTTAATTTCCAATACAATTCATAAATGCCGATTAGATGGTGTGCTACACTGTTGCAAGGGCTGCTAGTTCTGTGCATGTGTCACAAATGCAGTTTGTTCCTTCCAGGTTACACAGAGTTACATAGAGCATAGATACAGCATGGAAACAGGCCATTCAAGTCCCAACAAGTTTGCGTCAGTGTTTATACTCCACACAAGCCCCACCCCTCCTAGAGTGCTCATGAATTGAGCTGTGCTTTTATCTAAATGTACCTTGAAGTAGACGAGACACAGTAACTATCTGGAATTTGCAATATCCCAATTATGGATAATCTTGCGTGTCTCAGAAGCCAAATAAGGTTGATGGCAAATAAAGACACTTTAAAAAATAAAACACACTTTAAAACACACTTGCTGGAAAATAAGGAGGGCTCATGTGGTCAGCACTGATGCAGATGCAAACATATGATAAGAGGAGACTGTTGAGTGTGGCTAGGATAGAGTGGAAATGGAAGCTTTTAGAGTGAATATTGAGTTGGGGGCGGGATGGAGAAGAAATTATAAAAATCATTATCATATGCCACATTTTTACTCCCTATGCCTCTACGACTGCCTTGCGGCCTCTCCTACTTTTACAGACATGAAACATGAAGGTCGGCACTGAAGTTTGGACAGATAGTGTGGAGGGGTTGGGGTAGAGAATATTAGCTGCTGTTTTCTAGTTTGATCAGTCTTAACAATGCTTCCCAATTCAAAGTCTTATTTCTAAACTTCTAACTTTAATTACTGCTGATATGACCACCAAATATCAAAAATGTATTTACTCTCTGTAATACTTGTAACCCTACTTTTTACTCCTGATAATATTTAGCTCCAGAATTTCAGAAACCAAGGTGTCAAAAATGGTTTACTTTGAAGTCAGCAGCTTGACTCGCACACAGTACGTTCGTTGGGTGGGATTGATGATGACACTCTGTTCTATTATTCTCTTCTCCATCACCAACCGGCTCTTCTGCCCACCCTCTTCTGCTCGATCATCCTCTCTACTTTCATCACCACCACTATAACCCACATGAAACGGACCACCTGCTCCCTCAACCCCATCCCTACCCCTCTCCTTACCTCCTAGCTCCACCTCCTTGCCCCCCAACTCACAGACATCAATAACCTCTCCCTGTCCACTGGCACCATTCCCACCCCTTTAAAAATGGCCGTCATCGCTCTTATCCTTAAAATACCCTCCCAGGACCCATCCCTGCTCTCAAATTATCACCCCATCTCCAACCTGCTTGTTGCTTCCCAGCTTCACTCCTTCCTCTCCCGCCACTCCCTTCATGAACCTCTCTAATCGAGTTTCGTTGCCACCCACAGCACAGACTTCTTTGGTTAAGGTGACAAATGACATTTTGTCCATCTGCGACCAGTGCTCCCTCTGCCTCCTCGTCCTCCTTGATCTCTCTGCTGCCTTTGATACTGTTGACCGTCAGATCCTCCTCCACCACCTCTCCTCTCACCTCAACCTTCATGGTTCTGTCCTTGAATAGTTCAGATCCTACCTCTCACACCCTCTCCACGTCATCTCCACAATCACTAACCTCCAGGTTTCTCAGGGCTCTGTCCTTGGTCCCCTCCTTCAATATTGAAATGCTCCCTCTTGGTGACATCATCCATAGACATGGGGTCAATTTCCACATGGGATTAACACCCACTCTATCTCTCCACCTCCACCCTCGATTCCAGGATCACTGCTGTCCTGACAGAATGTTTGTCAGACATCAAGTCCTGAATGCAAGTTAACTTTCTACAGTTGAAAACAAGACCGAGACTCTCCTGATTGGCTCCTGTCAACTCCTCCACACCTCAGGCGCTGACAGCATCACCATCCAAGGATGCACACTCCACCTCATTGAGCCAATCTGGAACCTTGGCATCTTGTTTGACCCTCAACTGTCCTTTCTACCCCACATCTGTGCCATGACCCACCCTGCCTTCCTCCACTCCACAACATCGACAAGCTCCGCCACTGCCTCAGCCCTCATGCTGCCCAAACGCTAATCCATGTGCATTCATCACATCTTGGCTTGACTACACCAATTCCTTGCTTGTTGGCCTCCCCAACTCTCCCCTCCACATCCAGAACTCTGCAGCCTGTGTCCTCTCTGGCACCAGGCTTGATGACCCCATCACCCACCACCCTCACTCGGCTCCAATGGCTCCCCATTTCCCAGAGGATAGAGTTCAGAATCCTTGTCCTCGCCTTCAAGGCCCATATCAACCTGTCTACTTCCTCCGCTCAGCAGGCTGTGGCTTGCTCCACCTCCTCCGCCCAGCCTGCTCCAACTTTGGCGGCTGGGCTTTCAGCCTTTCTGCCCTCCCCCTATGGAACTCCATCCAACATTCGCTTCGCTCTCTCCCTTGTCTCCTCCTCTTTGACCAAGCCTTCGGCCGCCCTCTCTGCCCTCGACCCTCCCTGATCCCGAGCTCAGGTCCAAATCCCTGAGTGTCCAACGCTTTGGAACATCCTCCCAACGTGAAAGGCGCTATGCAAATATAATTTGTATTGTATATTTGCAGTTGTCCCAGTTACTGATTGGGGCGGGCGTTTCTCTTTAAAACATCATCAACTTTTCTTGCATATTGTAAATATTGAAATTTGTGCATTGGTCGCATCTGTCCAAAATAAACCATAGGATTGTTATTTAATTTTTAATTACTAATCTTTGCTTCTTGTGGTTTATTTTCAGTCACAGAGAAGAGGATTGTTGAGGATGTTTAATTTTCGAATATTTGATAGACAGGGATCTGAGCAGGTACTAGTAATTAATGTGAAACGTAATGCTTCATTGCATGTTCTGACTAATATTATTGTGCGTGGTTTGGGGAGAAAATGCTTTGAAAGTAGCAAATATGTAATGTTATACCATAAATGTTTTAAAACTTTTTTTGCTTGGGAAAACTGAAAATCTATTTTTCAGTACTAAAATTAATCCCTTTCTAATGTAGCAGAGTATTTTGGAGATTTGTTTTGCAATTTTTTGTGCAATTTTATTATAATTGATTTCTGAGGAACTTGAAACAATGTGTTGTAACACTTGCCGTATTGAGAATGTGCGAGTAAAATATAAATAGAAGATTAATATGAACAAGTGTCTTAATAATAAATCAATTTCATTTGATATATCGCATGTCTCAAAACACTTCACAGAGTTTTCTGTGACTTGCAGTGATGGAGTATTTTTGTGTGAATGTGACAGCAAATCTGTACACTGTAATGTCCCACAAACAGCCATAAAGTGAATGGCTTAATTTTTATTTCTGGGGATTGTTATCCAAGACATTTGAAGAATTTCCTGCTCTATTTGAAAAGTGCCATGAGATCCTTAATGTCCACTTGAACAGGCAGATGGGTCTTTGGTTAACATCTCATCTAAAGGACAGCTCTTCTAACAATTCAACACTCCCCCTATATCTCATTTTTGTGTTGCATTCTATGAGGTTAAAGTCTCAATGGAGAAATTAAATCCACTACCTTCTGATTCAGAAGCGAGAATGCTACCACCTGAGCCAGGCTGACACCGTATTTGTAATGTAGCATTGTTCACACTTTGTTTTGCAGGACGGGGTTTTCAAGATGACCTTATCTCCTGATGGAAAACTCCTGGTTGTAATCCATTTCTCAGGTCAATTGACCTTATGGGAAATTCCTTCCTTGAAACAACAGAAAGAATGGAGGCAAGATCTACAGGTAATAATTTTCCATTATTTTTCATGCAGAAAAGGTGTTTAATTTTATGCATTTCAGATTTGTTTCAGTTTACGCAAAGGAGTTACAGGAGAAATAGCTTAAATAAGTTAATATTTTTATTAGTTGTGCAACTGTACAGCTAATTAATTCATCAAAACACAATTCTGTGTTTTTGGTACCGCTTAACATCAGGTCTGAAATGTGTATGAATGTAAAATCTATTCACCACAAAAAAAGTGTGTTTTTTTTTGGAACTTATAATCATAATGTTTGAATCATTTTCCAGCCTGGATTTGATGCCATCAACCCTGAGTGGATAAAATCATTAGAGAAAAGAAAGAAAGTCAAAGGTATGAAACTTTTTGAATAATGGTCACCACAATTTCAGGCAAGAATAGTCTATTGATCCTAACCAATTTCTAGCATGGTTTCTTTGATTGTTACAAAAATGAACTAGACAAGATATTGAAAATTAGAACACTTTAGGGTTATTAGATAATGTGATAGATCCATCGGAAAAATGCGTCAATGGGTAGGCTAGATCATTATCTACTTCTACACATTTCTGTCATCTTGTTCCCCCCAAAAAACTTGTTTATTCTCAGTGGTGTTTCATCTTTTTCCGATTATTCTTGAATGTTGCATACATTAGATAAAGCAATCTTAAATACTTCTGGTGAATTCCCCTTCAGTCTTCTGTGTTTGAGATAAATATTACAGGGCTGACAATCTATCTGTTAAATTCTCAAATTAAGATAATTTGATACACCACAATTCAGTGCTCCGAATGTCAGTCTGCATTATAAGATCAAATCTTGATCCAGGGACTTGAATCCACTCTTTTGCTTTTTAATCTGTTTCATGCAACATTTTTTTAATTTGCTTGGTTTAGAAATCTCATTGAAACATTAACTTTAATTAAAATGTTGTCCTTTTAGACAAATCATCGTTTTATGCTCTCATTGATGTGAACTGGTGGGCTGATAATGCAATAATTCTGGCTCGCTGTTCTGGTGCTCTGACTGTGTCATCTGTGAGGACATTAAAAAACTTGCTTGGCCAATCCTGTGAGTGGTTTGAACCATCCCCGCAAGTCACTGCTACCCATGATGGAGGATTTCTGAGTTTAGAGGTAAAGATTGTAGAACTAACTGCTTGTAATAGATGGTAAGCAATGTTTATACTGTTCTCAGTGGAGCCTGTCTTTCGACAAATTTTCACTTTGTTTTCTTCTATTTTCTCTTTGGTATCATTCTTCATTTTATGGTTTCTAATACTCTTGGACGTTAATGGTGCCTTTCATGTGGGATGGTGTCTCGGAACACTTTGATTTGGTGAGGTCAGATGCTGGGAGGGGGATAAGGGCATCATGGTCTGCCATTCTCAAGCGCTCTGGAAGGCTACCCTGGTGAGGAGCAAAATATTGTTGTTGTGAGGGGGAGGTGAACATAATGCAAATTTAGTAATAAGGTAACTAACTATGTTAAATTTTCAGATTGTATGGATACATTCAAGAGGATGCTAGACCTTGAGGGAGAGGGGAATAGAAGGGTATGGGAGGAAGGAGTGGGTGAAGACTCGTGTGGAGTATAATCGCTGGCACATGGGCTGAATGGCATGTTTCCGTGCTGTACATTCTTTCTAAATATTTTTAAGGTCTATTGCCCTTACCATTGAATTTCAACATGTCAAATTATTCCTTCCATAATGATAATTAAAAAATGATGTAAAATAAGTACATTGGTGACTAATAGCTGAACCTGATTTATGCAGACTCATGCACCACATTTCTGCATCTCTGTCTTGGGTAAACACTCCAGTATGAAAGATGATGAAAATGTAAATTCCAAGATTGGATGCTAAGTAGTCTGATGATGAGTAAAACACTTTCTATCATTATTTATTATTGGAGGTATGAAAACTGATCCTAAATAAGCTATTGGCAATAATGAAAATTATGTAGAGTTTATGAATTCATGGAACTGGATATTCTTCCCACTGTTAATCGGGAATAAGCAAGAGAGTAGGGTTAGATTAGATGGTCTCACGTGGAGTAAATAGTCAGTGCTCATCCAAAAGCATGAAGTTAAGTGTTCCATAAATAATAGCCGTGCCAACTGAATCAGGTGGCTTCAAAAGCTTGAGTGGACCAAAATGTCATTTTTATATTATAGAGGTGATAGTTAGAAACTGTAAATGATACCTTCATTTTTCTTCCTGATGTTCCCAGTGTGAAGTGAAGCTGGCTCACAAGAGGCATCGTCTGGAAAATAATGCATTAGATGATGAGGAGGGAGAGGACGACTCTGACTCGGATGAAGAATCTTCTGCCAAGGCCAAATATTTTGGTTATATCAAGCAGGGCCTTTACTATGTGACAGAAATGGAGCGGTTTGCTCCTCCTCGGAAACGTGCCCGGACAATCACCAAAACCTATAGGCTTGTTAGTCTGAGGTCCACTACTCCAGAAGAGCTCTATCAAAGAAAGGTTTGTGGGAATTTGTATTAAAAAAAGTGAACAGTTATTTTAACTGTATGTGTTCGTTGTAGTTTTAGATACCCTGGGAAGAGTTCAGTCATTTTAGTTATTGTATTGCCTTCTTTATCCTGCAATTTGTATCCCCAATATTATGAGCCAGAAAACAAAAGATTTATATATTTAGGATTTATATCAGAGATGTTGGGTTAAATCATTGGTTAGGCTGTAACTGGAATACTGCATTCAGTTTTGGGCACCTCACTTTAATAATAATAATAATAATAATCCTTGCATTTGATATAGCGCTTTTCACGTCGGAAGGACGTCCCAAAGCGCTTCACAGAACACACTGTAAAGTGAATTGACTGTAAATTTATGGGCGAACGCGGCAGCCAATTGCGCACGCAATGTCCCACAAACAGTCGTAGATTGAAAATGCCAATTTTATTATTGTTTTTTGTTTTGGAGGGATTATTATTAGGCGTGTGGAGTAAGGAAACTTGCCCAAGGTTTCGCCCTGACTGGAATTGAACTCCGGTCTCTCGCTTGCAAAGCGAGTGCTCTAACCCCTGAGCTACAGGACTCCACTTTAAGAAGAATGTTAAGGCTTTGGAGAGAATGCAGAGGAAGTTTACAAGAATGATACCGGGGAGGAGAGGCTACACTTGTGAGGAGTGATTGGAAAAGTTGGGTTTGTTTTCATTGAAGCAGAGAAGGTTGAGTGGGAACCTGATTGAGATTATGAAGAGTTTTGACAGGGTAAATAGGGAGAAGCTATTTCCATTGATACAGGAGTCTGTGATATGGGAACATAGTTATGATAATCAAGAGGGAAAGGATAGATTTGTTTCACTCAGTGTTGTTGGAATGTTGCCACCTCACCTCATTAAGGAGGCAGACGCCATTGTGGGTTTCAAGAGGAAAATAGACGGGTATATAAAAGAGATTCCAAGGAGTATGAGGCAAGACAGTGGGATTGTGCTCGTGCAGACTTGATGGGCCGAGGAAAGTTTAGCCCACAGGAGTTGAAAAGACGCAAATGTACTGTAAAACATTTATTTTTAAAATGTGAGAAAATGGACAAAATTTGTATAATTTCTTCATTTTATATTTGCCTAATCTTCCTGCTAGAACATGATTTTGAATGTATTTTGAAATAGTCACAATCCTTTTTTTCAGATTGACAATGAAGAATATGGTGAAGCACTGGTTCTTGCTCAGACCTATGATCTGGACAGTGATCTTGTTTATCAAAGGCAATGGAGAAAATCACTTGTTAATATTGCTTCCATTCAGGACTACCTGGTATATTTTTCATGAATATTATTTGATGCTTTCTGTTTTGTTTTGGAAGCCTGAAAACCAGAAAAGAGGTCATTTGACCTAACAAGGCACCCTTCTTGAAACGGCATATTTCCTATTTCTGTCTATATCACTTCTTTCTCCAAATCCCTTCGTTTTGTGACTCATTTATGCTACACTACTAGGCAACATCAGAGTTCTCATCTCCACCTATAAGTGCCTTCATGCCCTAGCGCCTCCTTATTTTCTCTGATCTCCTCTTGCCCAACTCTTTTGTTCGCTTTAACTTAACTAACTCGGACTTGCTGCACATTCCTAACCTATCTGCGTGACCATTAGTATCCAAGCTTTTCAATTCTATGGCCCTAATCTTTGGAACTTCCTCCCTCAACTCCTCCGTCTTGCCCCCTCTCCCCATTGATTCTCAAGTCCCACCTTAAAACCCATCTCTTTGACCACGCATATAGTCACCACCGTTCGCCATCTCCTTGGCTCATTTTCTGTCCCTGCCACTATAAAATGCTGTTATGTTAAAAGATGTTATTCTGCATGCAGCATTCTGTTTAAATGCAAGTTATTGTTAACAAATTTTGTACGTCTGTATGAGGTGGGCCTCCAGTCGATTCTATGCTTTGCAGAGCCAGTTGATTAGTCAGACATCTGCTTACTGTTTGTACTTGTCTTTTCTCAGAGCAAAATTAAGAAGCGTTCATGGGTCTTGCACGAGTGTCTGGAAAGAGTGCCAGAAAATGTTGATGCAGCCAGGGAGCTGCTTCAGTATGGATTAAAAGGGACTGACCTGGAAGCACTTATATCTATAGGAAAGGGAGAAGATGAAGGCAGGTTGGTAATTCAAATTTCCTCACTACTGAAAAGTGCTAATTGTATTTTACTTACCATATAATTCTCTTCTGTTTTTTAAAATCAGTAAATGAGCATGACTGCTGCTTCTTAAAATGAGCAAAGTGTTCATTCTATTGCAGGCACAGGGAAATTTCCATGTGTAAGTGTCTTACAATGTCTGGTTTGGATATTCATAAACAGAGTGAAGGATTTATGTTCTACTGATTTGGTAGTAGACCAGTAGTAATAAAACAAATAAATATGAGTAAACAAATATGTCAAAATAGTGTGAGGCAGCAATAAACAATGCAAACAGGATTTTTGGACCATATTGCTAAATCAGTTGAGGTTAGATTCCCAACATCACAATGGGATGTATAACACTCTGGTTAGGCTGTGTCTGGAGTACAATTCTGGTTTCTGCGACGTAAAGAGGAGTGCCCAAGCCCTAGAGGCAGTGCAGAGGAGAACAACGAGGATGATCCCAATGTTAGAGGAATGGGCTATAAGCAACAAATAGATAAGGTAGGGCTCCTCAGTCTTGAAAGAAGACTCAGAAGGGACCTCACAGAGGTATAAAACATTTCAAATTGGATTGAAAAAGTAAACCCAGAATAATATTTTATGATCCACCAAGTCAGTAGAACAAGAAGACATAGGTTTAGACTTGCAAAGGGCAATTTCAGGACTAGTTCTATTTTCTCAGAGGGTAATTTACAATTGGAACGTGTTGCCAGGAAGGATGGCCTGAACCGACCACCCTCGTTTAAAAAGTCTTATGGAAAAATGTCATCATATCAATAGTTTTGAGACTTTAAACAAGACATATTTTAGGATCCATGTAAAATGATTTTCTTCAAAGAGACGTCATATCAAAAGTAAACTCCGGGCGTTCATAGTGTATAACTCTGTTTATACAGTTAAATTTTCACCAATAAATTGTGGTATTACTCCATACATAATTATAATTTAAGGTTTAGGGATATTAAAATTTGGCAGCTGCATTTCAGTCTATTACTACAGTATCAAGCATTACACGTAAAGTTTACTAGAACCCAATGAAAACATGAGAGCAATAACTTTACAATACATAATAAAATCTGTTACTGAACCAGAACATTATTTCTGCACTAGTAAGAAGAATTGTTGCTGTTCATTATACAAGTATGGTTTATAATCTGATGTATAATAGGATCTGAAAGAGTATTCAGTTCATTAGAGAATTATTAATTTTCATGTTAACAGATTCATTTTGCCTGGAGATATAGACATTGATGAGCTTCCATATGAGGATTACATGTCTCCCATTGAAGAGATGGAGAGGAAAAAGGAAAGAGAGACTGCAAAGCGATGGGAGCTGCTTAAATTGGTGGATTTTTCCATGTAAATAAATGTTTTTTTTGGTCGGCATGCTAATATTGGGGCTTTCATAGTTTAAATGTTTTGTGTTTGAGAGTAAATCAATATTGAGTTTATTTTAATTCATAACTTGACTATACTTCATAGCCCAGCAGGAATAGGAAATTAACTATGTGGATAATCTGAAATACAAACCCAATACACTGTGCCACAACTATTAAGATCTTGTTAGCTGCATGAGTTCACTTGATAACTGTTCCAAAGGGATGATACACTTTCCTGTATTTTGTTTGTAAATGGCTTTTGAATGGTTTCCCCAGAAAAGCATCATGTTTTATTCCTTTTTGCGCAGTAACAATGTGTGGAAAAAGCACCTTAATTGTCTTGTATGTACTATTTTTAGTAGCATTTACAGGTAAAGATAAGTAACTAATCACCCAACGGTTACACTACTCTCAATCTCAAAATATTATGAGATGTATCAACACGTGCACAGAAATAATTATCTTGATTTATATAATTAACCAACAAAAATAAGTGCATAATCTGTACACCTGTAATTCCCTTTGTGCACATGGTTTACCCAGTTTTACAATGTTATCCCTGTATATAACTGATTTACAGAGCCAAGGCTTGGTTTTTGCCAAACTGCACCTAATATTCTCAGAAATTTGGTGAGCAGGATGTATCCCTCCAGGTAGATTGCACATTCCATTCCAAAATATGGAAAGCTATGCGGATTTAGCTAGTTAAATCTAGGAGTACCCCAACACACACTGGAGTCCCCAAGCCTTGGCCCTTGCCAACCTGAGCCTAATACTTTCCAGAATTAGGTAAGCAGGATTCGTCCCTCCAGGGAGAGAGTGCGTATTCCATTCCAACAATTTATTTTTCGGTTTTCCATATGTAGGTGGGATGCCTGAAATTCTTAGTTTGGTTTGGATACTCTTAAGGATGGTGATGGATCTCTGCATGTATAAGACACTCAGCTGACCAAAAAAATTCAGCATAATGGTGGATTTCTTCCCATCTGACCAAAAAAAATATTTACAGAACTCACAATTGACCACAATAATAATAATAATCCTTGCATTTGATATAGCGCTTTTCACGTCGAGAGGACGTCCCAAAGCGCTTCACAGAACACACTGTAAAGTGAATTGACTGTATATTTGTGGGCGAACGCGGCAGCCAACTGCGCACAGCAATGTCCCACAAACAGTCGTAGATTGAATATGACCAATTTATTATTGTTTTTGGTTTTGGAGGGATTATTATTAGGCGTGTGGAGTAAGGAAACTTGCCCAAGGTTTCGCCCTGCCTGGAAATGAACTCAGGTCTCTCACTTGCAAAGCGAGTGCTCTAACCACTGAGCTACAGGACTCCACAATATCCTATTAGCACAAAACAACTTGCATTTTTAGAATCATTTTCATGTAAAAACATCTTGAAGTGCATCATAGGTAATTATTTTCAGTTGGTTGATCAAAGTGCTTCAGATAAATTGGTTATTCACCTCACGATTGGTTGTGAGCCTTTGCTGTGTGCAAATTGGCTGCTATGTGTACCTACGCAATCACTGCACTTTACGGTAAATGCCTGTGAAACTCTTGAGACATTTCTGCAATATAGGCATAATATCAAATTTGAAGATTTTTGTTTTTAAATAGTACAGGTAATTAATAAATTGTATTTTCTGGATAGCCAGTGAATGTTTGTTCTTTTTGTAGGCTGACACTGGAACAGAAGGAGCTCTGTCGCTGTAGACTGAAATTACTAACCTATCTAGATCACCTAGCAACGTATGAGGTATGAAAATCCATCCATTTTCATTTAAACATTTCTCTTTATAAAGCTCTTATTTTTGATTTTGCAATCTAAAGCCTGGCTTATTAACAGGTGTTGGGGGGCAGATCAAAGGTCAAGATTCTTCCCACTCGGCTTCTATTAATTCTGCAAGCCAACTGCCTAATGGATAGAGTGGGCCTAGCTGGACAAGCAGTTAGACGATTGCAAGACATTGCTTTAAAAACAATTAGATTTTAACTGGTTAAACTCCAGCAGCACCCTGACACATTCTGTAGTCCCCAAGTCTTGACTTTTGGCAACCTGTGCCTAAAATGCACAGTCAATCTACTTTGCAGTATATTCTGTGAAGCACTTTGAGGTGTCTTGATGAAGTTATAAGGCATTATATCAAATGCAAGGATTATTATTAATATTATTGAATTAAGTAAGCAGGATGGATCCCTCCAGAGAGAGCATGCATTTCAATTCATTTCCATCTTTAGGTGGCAAACATGGAACTTATAAAATTGCTTTGGATAGTCTTAAGCATGTTGATGGGTTTCCACATGTCAGACCCCCAGCTGACCAAACAAAATATGACTTCCCAAATACAATTGCAAAATCACCTGGAGTGGGAAGGAGAGATCCAATTTTAAGAGCAGGATCTTATACTAACAACCAATAATTCTATATTCAAAACAGTATCTATGTATATAAGTATAGCATAAAGCAGATAATAACTGATTCATTAACTACTTGAATGAAAATGAAAGATGTCCAGGATTCAAACAGGATTGAAACAGAAAGGAAAAGTTTATATTTTTATGTGACGTATCCTGTCGTGTGTTTTGAATGCAAACATTTTGTGATTTAGTGTTTCATATTGTTGATTTATTAATGAGGGAAGCTATAAGTCAATGCATGTCTTAGTGGGCACCAGGGTATGTTTGGGTGACAGAAAAAAATGACTATTGCTCTGAATTTACTACTGATCGAACGTACTGATGTGTGAGGTTAATCTAAAAGTAACTACATCTCAGTTCTATATGCCTCAAATCTAATACGCCATCACTATGATTTATGTTTTTTCCCTGTTTACAGGAAATTCTCGGTGGACCTCATGCTGCAGAGCAAAGATATGATTCAGAATTCTTCAAGAAATTTAGAAGTCAGAACATTGTAATGTCAGCAAGAACTTATGCCAGGGTAAGATGTACTTTCAATTGCCAATCCTGGTAACATTTATTTTGCTCATGGCAAATTAGCATTTCCACCCCTCATCCCAGATGGAAAACAGCACATTTGTCTCAGTTTGATGGGTATGTGTTTGCACATTTCTGTTCATCTTTTCTATGCAATTTGAAGCTTTGAAAAATGAAAGGTTGGTAGACACATGGCATATAAGGTTATAGCCTGTAACAAGTCTTGAAACCGTTTTTTGTATTTTGATTTGACGTTCTTGATCTGGCCCAGTTCCATTTTCTCTACTTCTGTCCCCTGGGTTATTTTTCCCTTTTCCCCCTCTCACTGCTTAACTACATTTTGAAGGCTTTAGACAGAAAAGGCTTTGTTATAGCTGTAAGCTGAATGAGAATGTAAATAGAAAAGCATCCAATAAATTGATAACCCAGATTGTGCAGCCTCCTTCTGTGCTGTAAATTTCTATAATTCACCTTAGCTATCAATTACACTTTGGGAGTCATTCTTTTTCACATAAATCCATCAACTTACTGCACATCTCGCTAATGTTCATTTACTGCAATTAAAATGTAATTTCTACATTAAGATATGTAACATAATTCAATCTGTCTGGTAGCGACCAGCTTCAGAAGGTACATTAGTCATGTTCCTTTGTACTTTATATGAATGCCTGGCTTATTCCTCTCCCTGTTTTGATAAATTACAAATAAGTCTTGCCAACTAGGCAAAACATCGTATTTTCTCTCAAATAAAGATATAGATATGTAGCCGGGTGTGTTTGCTCAAGTTGGATAGGTGTATTTCACGGCTGTATTGGAGGATCACGTCTGAAATAGACTAGCTATAAAACTACGAAGATCGAACACAGTAAGAGACCGTTCACCCTATTTTAAAAGCCTGCATTCATCCTCTAGAGCTGATTAATTCTTGTAATGAATTTAATGAAATGTGAGCCAATACTTATTTTTCCTCTTCAGGTAACTCCTAAATATGCACAGCATAGCCCAGAACCAAATCTGGGACCTTCTTTTCTGTGGTTTAGCTCTTCACCGGATAAACTTGCTGAACAATTGGAAGAGCTGGATATACAGTTGTTTGCATATTTTCTTACCATGAACAGTACATATTATTAGTGACAAATCAATGACTGCCAAAAGTGATGTTCTTTGAATTATGTTAATATAGTACTTTGTTTTAAATAGGAAAGCAACGTTCAAGCTTTGGAGATTCTGTTTACCTATCATGGATCAGATTTGTTACCTCATCGACTGGCCATTCTTTCAAACTTTCCTGAAACGACCTCACCTCATGAGTATGCCACCCTCCTTCCTGAAGCTCGGTATGAATAGTTCTTGAAATTATACCGCGACTCCAAATGCGTTAATATTATAATAAATAATATCCTTGCATTTGATGTGTAGGGCCTTATCACATCAAAATGCAAATACGGCAACCAATTCTGATTACAGTGACTCACAAACAGCCAGGAAGTGAATAACCTTTTTCGTTTATCTGGGGGAAGTTTGATCAGAACACCATAAAAAAAAACCTTCTCTTTTCATTTATTGCCATGGGATCTTTATCGTCCACCTTAACATGCAGACGTTTGGTTTAACATTTCATTGAAATGATGGACCTCCGAGAATACAGTATCTACTTAGCACTGCAGTGGGGTGTCTGTAAGAGCTCAGAATCCCTGCGTGGGGTTTGAGCCCACAACCTTGACTCAGAGGAGATCGTGCTACCAACTGAGTCAGGCTGATACCTATTGCCACAATACTATGATAATTCAATGTGGTTTCATTTAAATTGAAATGGGTTTGTCTGGCTGAATGCTTATGATAGAGGATCAGTATGTCACAATGGTGATTTATTGTAGTTTTACATTCATGTGTTTAAAAGTTTCATAACTCATAAGCAAGCAAGCGCTATGAGATCCTGCGTGGGGGAGGGGCTACATAAGTGGAAGTTGTTGTGTAAGCACCACGTGCTGGAGGTTTCCATTTTTTGTTTCATATGAGAGCCATGGTAATAGCTTCAGGGCCATGTTTTAACCGTTCTAAGGAAATTGATGTTTAAGAAGAAAACAAAAGAGGCAAATCCACTGAAGCATAAATCTTACTAGTGAAATGTGGAATAGGTGGTTGCTACTTATTAGGAAGTATTTTTTTCAGGCTACCTCAGTTATGGAAACACTCTCTTCCAGCTTAAACTTGTTCAATATGATTTTGAATTACCGTATCTAAAAAAAAATTAGACTAATGAAAACCTTTTTCAACTTTTGTTTCTGATTATCAATGTGGATAGATGTAATCTAAATAACTCTTGCCAAACCATAACCATTTAAAGTTGCCATAAATTATTAAATAGATGTATATTTTTAGGAACGAATATATCCTAATATTACTGAAAAATTTTATTTCAGAAATCGAGTAGCTCTTGAAGAATATTATTGAACCCGAGTACAGTACAAAACCTTTCAACCTAACTAAAAATTATATTTAGTTTGAATCTAAACTATTTTCAATTGCATTGTGTGACAATGTACAAGGCAGCAATTGTATTCTTTAAAATTCTGAAAAACAAACTGGTTGGAATGCTGTCCAAATCTTTGCCTGAGCAGCCTTTGTATTTGTAAATACAACGCCACACATGGGAAAGCCAGAATTGTAATTACATTTACATAATGTCGTTTGAAATTATCAGCAGTGAAAATAATTGGGTGGTATAAGGACTATGTGCTTCATCATACAGATGTAGCAGCAGAGGAAATATCATTTTAAAAACTTGCTTAGGGCAACAATCAAAATTCATACTTAGCATCAGTGAGCTTTTTTGGGGTGGAGGGAGAAATGGAGAATCATTTGTAAAATGAATTAAAACAAAAGTCCAAATATATGCACAGCTGTTTCCTGTGGAGAGACCCTATGAATCACAACAAAGATTTTTTTTGTCTTTCTGCTATGAGATAGTTGATCGTGTGGGTTCTGATTTACAATCTATTTTTCTTAAATAATGCATCGCCTACAAATTACAGTTATTACATTTCACAGCGCATCCTGTGAAATGCTTTGAGATGTCCTCCCAATGTGAAAGTCACTATATCAACAGTAAGGATTATTATTGTCTTCAGAGAAATGTGAATTTGAACTTGATTTTATTTTATATGATTTGGATTTTTGGCAGCAGAAAACCTTGTAAAGTAAATAAATATATCTCTTCTCTGCATCTGTAACCAATGTGCTTCATCATACAGATGTAGCAGTAGAGGCAACATCATTTTAAAAACTTGCTTAAGGCAACAATCGAGATTCATACATAGCATCAGGGAACTTTTTAGGATGGTCTCCCCAACTCCACTACCCACAAAATCCAATTAATTCAAAACTCTGCTGCCAGTATCCTCACCAAGCTCCGTACTCCCATCACCATAGTCCTTGCCTGGCTCCACTGTTTCCCTGTTACGGAACAGATTGACTTCACGATTCTCACAATCGTTTACAAACCACTTCATGCCCTGGCACCTCCCTACCTCTCTGACCTGCTTACTCCCCAATCCACTATCCAGTGCCTCCATTTGCCTGGCTCTGGTCTTCCTGCATGTGCCTCGTCCCCTCCGCTCAAACATTGGCAGCTATGTGGTCAGCCAGTATGTCCCAAAACTGTGGAACTCTCTCCTTCAATAATAATAATAATAATCCTTGCATTTGATATAGCGCTTTTCACGTCGGGAGGACGTCCCAAGCGCTTCACAGAACACACTGTAAAGTGAATTGACTGTATATTTGTGGGCGAACGCGGCAGCCAATTGCGCACAGCAATGTCCCACAAACAGTCGTAGATTGAAAATGACCAATTTTATTGTTTTTTGTTTTGGAGGGATTATTATTAGGCGTGTGGAGTAAGGAAACTTGCCCAAGGTTTCGCCCTGACTGGAATTGAACTCAGGTCTCTCACTTGCAAAGCGAGTGCTCTAACCACTGAGCTACAGGACTCCACAATCAATCCTTGCCTCCTCCTTCCCTGACTTCAGATCACACCTCAAGACCTTCCTCTTCGACTGGGTCCAAAACCCCTGATTGTCCAGCGCTTTGGGACGTCTTTCCGACATGAGGGGCACTATACAAGTGTAATTTGTTGTTGTTGCCTACAGTCTCTTCCCTCCTCTTTCCACATTGGTGTCAAGCTCTGCTCTGAGATGCTACCCCACGTGAATGGTGGTACACAAATGCCAGTTGTTGCTGTTACTTTAAAATGGAACAGATTAAGGAATGAAGGGTTTAAGGGTCAATTAAATCTCATAATTTGAGATTATGGTAATGAGCATTTTCTCCCAAGAACTTGCTCTTGTTGCTAGGAGATATACAACCTATGCTGGAATGCCTTGTTCACTGTTTTTATTTGTCTCATTCAAGATAATATCTTTTGTCCTTCTCATTTTATGACTGAGAATAGCTACTCATTGTTTGGAAAATTGTGGAACAGTCTCAAGAACTATGACCACCATATTGTAATGTGGGTCTACCATCTTACTGCCTACATTCATTTACAGTCTCTAATTGCTTCAATTGAAAGAATATTGCTGGTTTTACCTATCCAGGGTTATTGCATTTGAGAATGTCACCTGTTTATGTTCATAGTGTTTGAATCCTCTCGTCCCTAAAGCAGTGTGAATCTTCCAGGTAGGTATTATATATTGTGGTTCATATATGGTGTTTCTGAGAGCTGTTGCTAAATGTATTATTTCTAATGTTAAATACAAAGTTAAAGCCTAGGTCAGCAGAAAAAATGCTTATGCAAAAATGGTCCTTCCAGAGATAAATCTCTCATTCAATATATTGCTAATTTACATTTTGGAATTTATGTCTGATCTATTCAATCAAAACTGTCCCTCGAAAGATGTTGTATATTTTCTGAACAAAATATTTGCATAGCTGTCAGTTTCTGTTTCAGCAAATATTGTCAAGATTATTGCAATATTTTACCAATGAATTCTCCAGAGAAATAAAAGTACAGATTAAAGCTGTAGCCATAAAAATGAAAAATGCATTAGGCATCACACTGATTCAATTTATGGCTAGGCATAGAAAGCTTTGGGACACAATGTTTAAGATTCATTAAAGCTGCTTAAGGTTGTGGAAACAGGTAAAGTATTGCTATTCTTTTAATAGCTTACAAAAGGGGAATCAAGCTTGGGTTAGAATAAATGGTGGTCATATAAAGCAAAGTTTATACACTGATTTCTGCCTCCAAGACATTTTAAAAGGAAATCTTGCCGTCATTGTTTTTCTCAAGTAAACTTAACTAACTACTTAAGTTATTTCTTTAGATTTGTACCACCACACAAACCTAGACGTGTCAAGAAACAAATATTAGAGGCTTTTATATTAGAACATTTATTTTTCCAAGTATGAATCTTAATATTTTTAGTATGAATAGAATTTGCTAAATCCTTAGCAAAAATAATATATTGTGCGAGCAAAGTACTATTAAATAACATTACTGTTAAAAAATACTATTTAATAATATTAGGAATATTAAAAACATTAACACTAACTACAGTGGTATTACCCTTTACTTAAAAAATCCTGTGATCTACTTTGAGACATTTTGACAACCTTAAATGGTGATATAATAGTCCTGTAGCTCAGTGGTTAGAGCACTCACTTTGCAAGCGAGAGACCTGAGTTCAATTCCAGGCAGGGCGAAGCCTTGGGCAAGTTTCCTTACTCTACACGCCTAATAATAATCCCTCCAAAAAAACAAAACAATAATAAATTGGTCATTTTCAATCTACTACTGTTTGTGGGACATTGCTGTGCGCAATTGGCTGCCGCGTTCGCCCACAAATATACAGTCAATTAAGTTTACAGTATATTCTGTGAAGCGCTTTGGGACGTCTAGAAGACATGAAAAGCGCTACATTAAATGCAAGGATTATTATTATAATACAACGATTGTGATTAACAGCAAAATTGGGCAATTATGGGAAGGAATACTTTTTCCTATAACTTTAGGCATAACTTTATAGGTAAACTGAAGACGAAATTTAAGACAATAGCACCGGACAACATGAAAAGGGAATACTATAAAACGAAGGGAATACAAAGTAAGAAAGGCAATAAAACTCAGTTTTAAAAAAAATACATTTCAAGTATTTAATGTAAGAGAGAGGAGAAGGCTAAGGTTGATGATTTAAATTTTTTAACATTTAGGTCTGGTCTTTGTTCCCTGAAATGCTGAAACCCCTGATTTTTTTTCTTGGTTCATGCCATTTTGACAGATTTGAAGAAAATGGTGATTTGTTCGCATTGCCATGGAATGAACAAAGGCATCAAGACCAAGATTGGTGTGAGGAACCAAATGTCAGGTACAATTGTGACTTCATATTTTACTTTCCAGATCTGTGTATGTGCGTGTTTAATAATAACATAATTGTTGCAATTGCCTTTCACTTTGACTGGACATCTCAAAACGCCGCACAGGGTTTTATTTGAGGGATTGTTGGCCAGGGCACTGGGAGAAATTCCCTTCTCTTTTTGAATAGTGCCACTGACTTGGAGGCGAGAGTGCTATTCACAGAGCCAGGCTGACATACATCATGGGTGCATGGAATCATCATGTAAGGTTTGAAGAGAATCACGTCGGTGATTCCATTGCAGCATTGAAATTGCTCATGAGCAGAGCTCTTACTCTACATTAGTCAGGTCTCAGTGTAGATAACAAGGCTATTTTCCCAATGGTGTGCTAAGAGCTAATATACTACATCTGTTTGTCTGACCTTTAGTGGTAAAATATATTTGTACCCTAGATCTTTATCTCTGCTCTTCCACTCCATTGCAGGTTTTACTCTTCAGGCTGTACTCCACTCTCTATTTTAATTTCCTGGAATGGAGTACCTTATTTGTCTGAAGTGCATTTGCTATTTGTCTGACCATTTCCTTTAGTCTCAGTGTCCTCCTGAGATCTTATACGGTCTTAACACTTTTCTCTTGCACCCAATTCAGTGTCATCAGCAAATTTAGGCATAAGCCCTTCTATGCTCATGATGTATATTGTTTAAAAAGGTGCAGGCTTCCTGTGTACATTTGTGTGACTTATTTTATATGCTTTTTCTTGTTTTTTTTTCCCCATTCACATAGAATTATCGTGGAATGTTGTTCCCAGGATGTAGCTGAATTTCTTTATGAAGAACAGTCTGAACTTTTAGAATATAGGACCTTTGAGCCCTCTGTTCAATTGCTCACTGATTGGTATCAGAAGCGCGCAGAGGAGATTGAGAGCTATTCCAGACAGGTGAGAACCGAATAAAAGAATGCTTCTTTAAAATTTTATGCAAATATATTTTTTTTGCCCAATTGAGAATTCTTTGCAAGAGATATTGTATAAAGGGTTTTTACTTGTGTTTTTAAAGGAGATATAGAGATTACAAATTACATAGGTTTATAAACTATGAAAAGTAGAAAAGGGTAGTATAAGTATTACAGAAACTGCTTTTGGTTGAGAGAGGCCTTTGTCACAGCTCCACTGCAACCTTACCTAGCTTGTTTTCTTCACAGAAAGTGTGCTGCTTTCTGTGGCCACTTAGTGGCACCAAATCTCAATTTGTTTTGTCCAACTTTTTAAAAAAAATAAAAACTAGAGTTAGCTGATAAATGCAAACCTCACACAGCTATTACTTGTGGATGAGAAACCAATTTTGCATGCATTCCCATAGCGAACAAGAGGTGAGCCAACCTTACAGAATAATCCACCTAAACACTCTTCCTTCCCACACTCAATTTTTTTTCTTAAATAAAAGGAACTACACTGCTTTTAATGCAACGTTTATGGCTTGGAGGAAAGTGTTTTTTGAATTTTGCAGTAGTCGTGATGAAGTCATGAAAACATTTCTCTGGAGATATTTTGAGTTAAACCTAAAATTCTTGACAATTGGTAAGTAAAGCAATAAAACAAGACTAAATGCTGTTTCTTGATTCATGCTTCGTAGTCCTGTAGGTCAATGGTTAAAGGCCTTGCAAGTGAGAGACCTGGGTTCAGGTTTTGGCAGGGCGAAATGTTGGGCAAGTTTGCTTACTCCACAAGTCTCTGTTTACCTGGCAGTAAATAGGAACCTGGTTGTTAGTCGATTGACGGATCAGTTTTCCGGGGGTAATAATTCCTTCAGTCATTTCAATCCGCGACTGTTTATGGGACACTATGGTGCACAATTGGCTAAAGTGTTTCGCCCACAAAATCTACAGTCAATTCATTTTACAGTATATTCTGTGAAGCACCTCGAAGACATGATAAGGCTCTATATCAAATGTAAGTATTATTACTACTATTATCCTTATATCCCCCCACGCCCCCGGGTTCTCTGTGGTTGAAAAACATCATTTTGACGACTAAAGCAAAATGTGCTGCTGTGCAATGCATGAAAAGTCGATAGCTTAGTTACCATCTTTCCATGGTCAATGTTGTTTAATTACTTTTCAATAAGAAAACTGAATATGGAAGTTGGATCTTTAGCCTCGGAATAATGCAGGTTTGTATGTATCTGAGATTGAGAGTATAAAGATTGTTATATTAAAGTGGGTGGTCAATTTAATTAAAGTAGGGAATAAAAGGTTAATGAAATGTAAAACTGTAGTGTGGTGCAACCATTTCCAATTAAAAATATGTAGTTCTTTGCAACAAAAATGGAAAGGTTTGTACATGTTATGTATTGATTTTTTTCTTAACCCTTTCATTTCTGAAAAGTGTTTACGATTTTAGAATGCTCATTTCTTTATATGATACTTACATGTGTTTTAATGCTAAATTCCTAAAGTTGAATGGAAGAAGCGTATCCATCCAAAACATATTCCTTAATTGATGGTATTTTACAATAAACATTCCCAATTCCAGTTTTGTTCCATAGTTTGATTTTGGTGCTAAAGACTCAAACTTGATGAACTCTTAAGTTTGTTATATTGGTGCCTTCAATCAAACTTTTTGCTCCACGTTGGAACTTGGAATCGGTACATTGTGCCATCCATTTGCATGCGGCGTTAAACCAAGGTCCCGTCAACTTATTCAGGTAGACGTAGAAGATCCCCTGGTGCAATGAGAAGGGAGTTTCTCCTGGTGGCACAAATCTCCCAAGTATAATTGGTCACTCACTTCATGGATGTTTGTGGGAGATCGCTATGCTCATCTGGTTACCGTGTTTTGCCTACAAAAGACAGTCAATGCACTATACAGTCTATTATGTGAAGCGCTTTTAAGACTTCTCAATGACGTGATTAGGCGCTATATCAAATACAAGGAGCAAATGCAAGGATCATTTTTTATTTGTGCAGTGAAGAAATTGTGACTGATTAGTTTCTGTTTATGATAAAGGAAATCTTATAAAATAATAATCCTTGCATTTGATATAGCGTCTTATCATGTCTTCGAGGCGTCTCAAAGCGCTTCATCGAATATACTATAAAGTGAATTGACTGTATATTTTGTGGGCGAAACACAGCAGCCAATTACACAGCAATGTCCCACAAACAGTCGTAGATTGAAGTGACCAATTTTATTTTTTTGAAGGAATTATTAACCCTGGAAAAGCCATCCGCCAATCGACTAACAAACGGGTTTCTACTTACTGCTAGATAAACAGAGTAGTGTGGAGTAAGGAAACTTGCCAAACATGTCGCCTTGCTGGGAATCGAGCCCAGGTCTCGCTTGCGAGGCAACTGCTCTAACCACTGAGCTGCAGGACTCTGTTCTAAAACATGGTACTATTTGTGGAACTATAGTCAAATAATATGAAATGATAATCAAGCCCTTTTAAAAAATAAATAATTTGTAATATTTAAGGTAATTGATAAGATGTCACATACACAAACGGAGATGAGGAATTTCAGGAAAGATTTATTGAAGCATTCAAAATCAGGGTATGGATAAGCTGAATATGTTTAACAGATTCACAAGGTTTACTGTGGTAGTCTAACTAAGGAAGTGGTGCTGTGCTGTGGGCAAGATCAATTTTGCCCTGCCTACAGCACAGAGACAGCACTTGTCAAAGTCACAAACAACGTTCTCTATCTGTGACCAGGGCTTCCTATGCCTCCTTGTCCTCCTGGATCATTCTGCCACGTCCGACACAGTCGACCACGCCATCCTCCTCCACCGCCTCTCATCCATCTTAGTCGGACTGCACTCACATGGTTCAAGTCCTACTTAACCAATTGCCTCCACTGCATCTTGGCAAAACGTTTCTCCTACTGCCCCCGTCGGTCATCTGCAGGGTTACCCCAGGTCTCCATCCTTGGTCCTCTTCTTTTCCTTATCTATATGCTCCCTCTGGGCGATGTCATCCGCAGATACTGCGTAAACTACCACATGTATACGGATGACACACAAATCTACTTTGCCTCCTCCAGTACCAACTCCAGGTCCGTCGATGTTCTATCAGCTTGTCTGGCAGACATCAAGGCTTGGATGAGTGTAAACTTCCAGCAGCTGAATGTGGACAAGATGGAAGCCATGCTCATTGAGTCCCGTCAATGTCTTCACTCTTGCGGATCTGAACTCCTCAACCTCCCTGGGCTCTCCCTCATATTTAACGAACCAGTGCGCAATCTAGGCATCCAGTTCGACCTCAGCCGTTCTTCCTCCACCACATCCAGTCTCTGACGAGGATCGCCTTCTTCCACCTCTGCCATATTGCCCGCTTCCGACTGTACCTTACCCCAAATGCAGCCGAAAACCTCGTGCATGTTTTTGTCACCTCCCACCTGAATTACTCAAATGCACTCCTCGCCGGTCTCTCCAGCTCCACTATTCAATAGATCCAGCTCATTCAGAACTCTGCCACCCACATACTGACCCGGACTAAACTCCATACCCACGTTTCACCAGTTCTGGCCAGGCTCCACTGGCTCCCCCTCACCAAACAGATCGACTTCAAGATCCTCACACTTGTGTTCAAATCCTTTCACTCTCTGGCACCTCCCTACCTCTCCGACCTCCTCACTCCCCAAACCCCAAGCCTCTGCTCGACTGGCACTGATCTCCTGCTTGTCCCTTGCACCCCCCACTCCACCAAGGTCGCGCTTTCAGCCACTATGCCCTGAAACTCTGGAACACTCTCCCCCAATCCCTCTGCCTTGCTCCCTCCCCCTCCTCGTCCCACCTGAAAACCTTCCTCATTGACCATGCTTACTGCCACATTCCCCCCCACCACCCCAGCTCATAGTCAGGCTCCACCACTGTTAAGCGCCCTGAGACGCTACCGTACGTGGAGGGTGCTATGTAGATGCAAGCTGTTGTTGTTTGATGGAGGCAGAAGCAAATTCGAATGAGAATTGTATAACTATTTGGTGATGAAATCAATTGAAGGATGTGAGATGTAGCATTGTCAGTTGGAATACAATGATAATTTCTGGTCCTCTGTATTATCATAATCCTATATAGAATGGAATCACATTTTATGAGGAGAGGTTTTTTAAACGTAGGTTAGACTGTGGCAAAGAAGCTGAAGCTTTATTTCTGGCTTGATATCTTGATGTCAGGTGGAATTCTTTTTGTGGGTATGAATCATATTTCATGGATTTTACATGTATATCAATACAGTTTCGTGAATGGAGTGAAAATGATCTGCTTTACTTAAACAAGTTGCTATTCAGCTTCTGTAATAGATGTGTTAGGATTTTATTTCAATTAGTTTACATTTTGAGGTTTCAAGTCTGATTTGTGTTGCAACCATTGAACTGCAAAATAGCCTAGGTGACTTGCAAAGTTCGAGCAAATGAGTGTTTAATTGTTCAAATACATTTGTCTTCCTTAAAATGGATATCCCTTTTACTGTATAACATCTTATTCACATAAAGAAGGTGCTATAGTATGTTTTATTACTAGATCTTTGATCATTCTTTTAATTTACAAACACTTAATGTGCACACTTGTGAAATCAAAATATTATCCTCTAACGGGATTCGGATGGATTTTTAAATGTTACTCACATTTCCAGTTTTAAGTTAGTTCTGGCATCACGCTGTCATGCAGCAACTTCAAGGGACTGAGTGGCTTGGATCTGTTCTCTGAAATTAAATATAATATTGAGTAGAACATCAGATAAAATGGAACACAAATTGAAAGGACACAGATCTTCAAAGTATGAAAACAAACATCTCTCATGAACAGTCTCTGACATAATGTTTAAAAATTCTGACTGGTGTTGTGTTATTTATCTTAGGTGGATTGTGCCTTGTCTCTTGTGCGTTTGGGGAAAGAGAGAAACATCCCTGGGCTGGAGGTACTCTGTGATGATCTCATTACTTTGGAGACCCTGGTATATGAAGCAGAGGCTGACGCTACTCTTTCGTTGAAGGAACTACAACAGATGGAGGATATTGATAAGCTGAGACTGTTGATGATGAGTGTATGTTGGAAAATTTAATTGCAATAGTAGTGATTTTAAATATAAATTTTTAAATTGTTTTTAGACTGTTTAGCAATTGCAGCTCAGGAAGAGGACACTCATCCATTAATCCACTAGTGGGTGAGTCTGTTGGTTGTCAATACTGTATTATGCTACTATTTCACTTTAATTCTTGACTGGAATAGTATTTTAACAAATGTAAAGCTAGTCAAATTAGCCCTTTTATTAGCTATTTGAATCTGAGCTGTCATTCTCTTGCCTCACAATGAATTCTCCACTTGTAAAGTCCAAGTCCAATCTTGAACCAGTGCCAAGACATATATACAAGATTGTTTTAGGTTGAATTCTTAGCATATTTATTTTCCCTCCTGGTGTGGAAAGAGCCTTGTAGAATTATGGATAGATGCAATTGTTCACATAACCAGAAGTGTAAGGGGAAAAGGCTAAGTCATAGCTATTATCGGATCACAGGTTCGAAATTGATTCTATGGTAAGTTTAAGGATCTCAGTTGAAGTTTGGGGTAATTGGCTTGAGAGCTCTCGAGCTTAGAAGAGGAGAAATCAAGTAGGGTTCTTGATTAGGATTTATATTCAGCAACTCTTACTGAAAAGTGTATGTTTATTTGTTGGCTGAGGGCAAGATTGGGTTTGACTGCTACCTCCTATGGTTGAAAGATTTACCAAAAATAACATGAAGAATGGCTACTTGAAGAGTGCCTGACATCCCTAGAACTAAAGACCAGTAAGCATAGGGCTTCTTTTGGAGAGGAAGAGAGGAAAAAAAAGACAATACTGGAATAACATGCAAAAATAGCTATTTACTAAGTTCCCAAACTAATGTAGACATCTTTTAAATTATTAGTGTTCTTATTTTGCATAGTAGTGTATTAAAATTGCTATTCAGCTTGTTGTTTTAACATTACTACCAAAACAACAAATTTTTTGTACTACTGCAGTTTTATGGATGTTGCATAATTGCATATTTTCTGTTTCCTGCTTATTTAGTCACCTGAGGAAATGTATATAAAGAATGTGTATCAGTGGATGGTTCCATTTCTGCATCGCTGTGAGAGTCAGAAGTCAGGAATTGCAGATGACCTGCTTAAAGAGTACTTAACAACAAAGGCCAAAGAGGATTTAAAGTACCCTCTGAAGATATTTCAACATTCCAAGCCTGGTGTATGTTTAACATGTCAAGTATTATGTTTCAATAATGGTTCCAACAAATATTGTTTTTTTTCAAAGCCTATTTCTTTTGCTTTACTTGCAATATACTATGTGTAGCTTGTTGGGAGAACAGATATTTGGGTTCCTGGTGTCGATATTCAGATTTATTGCCTATTTTTGGGTTGATGAGTACTATAATCTTAAAAAAAAGAAATATTTTTGTATGGGGAGGGGAAAGGTAAGAGTGGGGCCTGTCTGGTACTGAAGTGCTTCCATTGAGAAACTTGCTCTAACTTTGCTTAATTGCATATTTTTTCATCTTTCATTAGTGCCAGCAGAAAATTATTTCTGACCATCACCAATTGATGACACTAGCATTAGAATGTATCTACAACTGTGAAAGAGATGATCAGCTCTCCAAGTGTTATGATGTACTTGAATGTCTGCCACAGAGAGGCTATGGGTAAGTAGTACAATTCAGGTCCTCAAACGAAAATATATTATTTACATTGGGATGTGTGCAGAAACAGATTTTTACATTCTAGATTTGAAAATCAGAAAACAAGCAAGGTGAGAGCTCAAACCACTGAGCTGCAGGACACCACATTTAAGGAAGTTAAGGTCCTTTTGGAGGAGGCATTGAAAACCAGGGCGATTTAGATAGATAGATTAGGTTTAGTCCTCCAGCAAAGGCCACTAATTGTTTTATGGTAAGTAGAATGCTGGAAATCCAACGGCAGACTTAGCCATTAAGCTCTTTGCAATTAATTATTTCATTGACATTCACCTGCATTGACATCAACCTTGCATTGTCATTTACCCTGCATTGCCATATACAGTGGTGGTTGTAATATAACTAGATCCAAATCAAAGTTGTGTTAGTAGCTTCTTCATTTGTTGGGCCAGTTTCCTTACTCCACATGCCTGGTTGCTAGTCGATTGGCGGATCGCTTTTCTGATGCTAATAATTCCTTAAAAAAAATTGGTCACTTCAAACCATGACTGTTTGTGGGACACTGCCGTGCACAATTGGCTGACGCGTTTCGCCGACAAAATGTACAATCAATTTACAGTATATTCTGTGTAACGCTTTGAGACATCTGAAAGAAGTGATAAGGAGCTATATCAAATGCAAGGATTATTATTATTACTAACATTCTGTCTAGTACTGCTTTCATAGTTTAAGTTAAATAACTTGTTTATTCTGCATCTAGTACTGTCATTATTTTAAAATCTTGATTCATGCTTGTTTTTTAATGAAAACAAGTTCAGCTTGGTAAACCGCTCCTCATGAATTTGATCTTTAACCCCCATCATCACCCTGTGGTCATCATCCTTTTTATTCTACCTTGTGAACCGTTGTGACCTTAATATTTGGCCGTCTCCTCCACTCACCAAACACTGGCTTGCTTCATTTTTTTGTGCCTGCTCTGCCTTACCATCAGTGGGCGAACCTTCACCCACATGGCTGCAGTTTCTTCAGAACTCTATCCCAGATTCCCTCCGCCTTGCCCTCTCCTCTATCTTCAAAATAATCTTAAATGAACACAAGAACCTGCATTTATATAACGCCCTTAACATAAATACTCGCCTCGGAGTAGTTCACAAGAACAGGGTCGAAGGGGAAGGGGGATAGGAAGAGGTGACTGTACACATATTCAAAGAGGTAGGTTTTTAGGTGGGATTTAAAGAGATGGAGAGGTGTGAAACTGCAGGTAAGAGGGAGAGCTTTCCAGAGATCAGGGTTTAATTGCTGAATTGTAATCGGCTGTCGACATGGAGTGGTCGGGGAACATGCAGCAGATCTTGGTTAGCCAGACAGGGAGCGAGCAGGTTACAGAGACAGATGGGTGCTACAGTATAAAGGGATTTATTTATAGGTGAGAGTGAGGTTCAAAGTCGATCCGATGGGAGATGAGAGGACTGAGGTGATTCATGCGGACGTTGGAACCAAGCAAGATGCATTTCAGATCATAATTTTGCATCACTTTATTTTGCTTCAAATACTTAGTCAAATCCTTTTTAAGGTGTTTGCATGAATGACAAAGAATTCAGGATTTTTTTTTTCAAACCATGTTTAGGAAAGGAAGCCCAAAACCAAATGCTATATTAAACGTGGCCTCACGGGTAATCTGTGACCTCAAGATGCTAACCTTTCATTTGATTTAGCTTTGTTCACACAAGTTGCACATTGACTTAAAACCTTCAGTAAGTAATCAATAATTGCAGTAAATTCCTTTTCCAATCTCTGCTGGTGGACACCCTTTTATTTTATATGTTTACTTGTTCCAAAATACATTGCCCTGCATTTAACTATTAAAATCCATCTGCCACTATTTGCCTCATCTGCTTTATTGGTCCAGGTATTAAATTGTGTTTATGCTCGTCATATTCATCTGCCCATGTTGCTTGATCTAATCAACAAATTTTATAACATAACAAGAAATCCTCTCTTCCAAGTTATTTATGAAGAGTGTGAATTGAATGCGAACCAAAATGGACCCCTTTGGAATTCTGCTCTTCACTGTCCCCCATATGGACCTTTTTAATTTGCCATCACCTTCTGCTTCCTATTGCTCAGCCAATATCCAATGAATGGATCATAGCACAGGACTGGCAAAGACCATTACAGTCCATCTGTCCACAGTGGGCAGTCCTGTGCATTTCCAGAATCCCATTTGGCCTTAATTGTTTAACAAAGTAAGTTGCTTTTTTAAAAAAACTACATTATTCTATTTCTCAGCCCTTAATTGAATCTTTCATCTGACAGCTATTTAATTCCTTCTTGAAGTTGTTGACATAATCTGCCTTTGTTGCTTTTCTGAGTAGTGTATGCCACATACTTACCATCATCTGTGTAAAATAATTAATTCTGGACTGTTTGTTCATCTTCTTACTTCTCAGATCCCAAACTCCGCCGCCCACGTCCTCACCTGTACCAAATTCCCCTCACCTATCACTCCAATCTTAGGCAGGCTCCATTAATTTCCTGTCTCCAACAGAATCGATTTCTAGATCCTCACCCTCACATACAAGCCCCCTCATGTCATAGCACCTCCTTACCTCTCTGACCTGCTCATACCCCACTCCTCTGCCCACTTCCTCCAGCTGGCATAGGCCTGACCCCTCCACCCTCCAATACAGTGGCTGTGCCTTCTGCAATATGGTGCCCTGAAAGTTTAGTATCTCTTGCTGGGAAGTAAATTCTATTCCTTCAGCTGTATACCTCGGGTGCAGTCGATCTATCAAATTAATTCCACGTAGCTTTCCTTTTTAAAGAAAAAGTGTCATATGGAACATTGTCAATTCCTTTTTTAAAAAAAATAAAAATTGCATTGCCCTGATCCTCGAGTGTGGTTACTTCTGCAGGTACTGGTCATGCAAACTCATGCATTGCAGTAGTTTCACTGATTGTTTCTAAATCTGTCTAGATGTTATACTTTTGATGGATTTATTCTTAAGTATGTGTTTTGTTCAAAGATACATGTTTGGTTCTATTGGCATTGTTGGTTCATAATCTTGAATTATGTGGAGGATGATACTGTAATGAAAAAATGGACTGCAAATTAGATTGTCTTTTTGCTATATTTTACAATTGTAGTCTTATCTGTAATATGAAACGAGTGCTTGATTGCTGTCAAATATCCTTTTAAATTTTTACTTCACAGTCAAGAATCAGAAGTGACAAAAATATTGCATGATCAGGTCGACTTGTTGGAACAACATCTGAGGTAGAGTTTTAAATATTGAGAGAAACAAACTTTTGTGTTTTCTGTGTTTCTTTTCCTTTCCTTTCTGGCCGCATGCAGGTTCTGGCCATGCAAACTCATGCAGTTGCACACAGATACCTCTGTCCCTCTCTGTTTTGGGCTATATTGTTACTGCGACTCAGAAAGAAGACATATTGGGAATAGCAGAAATTGACTGCCTATCTTCCTTTGTGTATAGTTTCTGTTGTGGCAAAAGGCGGGACCATTTTATAGTTGGATTCATTGGCCACAAACGGCAACTAATCTTTATTAGCAGCAGAGGACTCCAGGGCTTTCACAATAGGAAAAATCAAAGACTTCAATTAAGTGTGAAGTATCTCAAGCAACTAGATTGTCCACTCCACCTCACTTTATGTTCTATTCTTAGATGCAATGGTTACTGCATTCATTAGGATTCTATAAAATATCTGCTCAACTAAAGTGAAACTTAATTTAGTGTTTTTTTCCTGAGGCCTGTAGGGGCATAGTAACACTTGCTTTCTGATCAAAATACTGGCAGAAACATTGCACACATTGTAGTTACCTGCCTGAGCTCTACTCATCTTGACAGTTCACTCACCATCGCTGCTGCCAAAAAAGAGACTGAGCTAATTGCTGGAAGAGATATAGGAAAAGCAAACTCAAGGTTCATTGCCTATTACTGACAAATGAAATAACTTGAATGAAACCTGCCCTGGGCCTCTTGTCTGCACTGTATTTTAACATTAGACAATATATGTTTTTAAACAAAAACAGAGAGAGCTGGGAAAGCTCATCAGGTCAGGCAGCATCTATGGAGAAAGGAAAGTGAGTCAACATTTTGGGTCCACGACCCTTTGTCAGAACATATGGTTTATATTTTTAAACCTTAACATTTCAGCCTTAATATTTCTAGTTTCTTAACAAGGAAAAAAAAATTATAAAGAAATTGGATATGGCCTGCCATTCACAGATTTGTTAGGAGTTGTATCATCTAGGAACAATGTTTTTTTTTTATGAAGTTCCCATTTGGAGGTCAGGTTATATTTTTCTTTATATAGAATTGCATATAATTTACAGCCTTTTTCAGCTAAACATGTCTATTCTAGTGTGTATGCTCCACCCATCTTAATCCTCCCTTCCATAGCCTTCAAATTCTCTCTTTTATGCAATATTAAAAGCACAGGAAGGAATCATGACAATAGGATTAGATTGACTCTTGGATCAAAACCACTATTGTAGACTATAAGGGCTGAACGGTCTGTTTCTGTGCTTTAGCTTTCTGTAATTTAGCATAATAATAATATAATAATAATAATAATGGTCTACAGATCAAATTCACATTTGTTTAATAACTGAAAATGAAGAACGCTGTATTATTCTATTATTGAAACAACTGATTGGGAGAGTGTTGATTTTTGGTGCCCTGTATTTGGTCATCAATTTATACTGGAAATATGTTCTACTTGTTTTTATATAGTATGAGTTATAAGTTTGTAAAGTACATTTTCTGCATCTCAGATGTATAGTTTATAGTTTCAGGATCTGAGTGTATCATTTTACACAAGTTTTTTTTATATAAATGTTTCCATATGTGTTTCAATGTTATGTTTTCAAAAGTGATTAGAAATTTTATTTATTTTGCTTTCCTTTGAAAAACAAATACATGAAGTTTTAAACTGAAGAATTGTTCCTGATTTTATTTCTTTATTTACTTCAGTGTTGCGGAAATTTTGGAGAAGCATGGTCTCCAGAAACCAATCTCATTTGTAAAGATTACGCAATCAAGCTTAGAGGAGGCCAGTCAGCTCATGGTACGGTTAACTAGGCACATTGGACGCAAGTGAGTATACATCAACCTACCCTCTAGGAATAATAAAACTAGCATTTCAAAAAGAATAATTCACGAGGCTTCACTAAATTAAAGTTGATCAAATAGAATCTTGTTGCATGATGATGGTAAATGATCAATATGTGAAAGATTTTTTTCCGTAATATTTGTGACACTTCTGTTGATGCTTTTTTACTTCTGTACTGTAGCCATCCGTATAGCAATCATTTAACTAGCAATCATTTCACAATCAAGAACAACAAAGAGTTGCATTTATATTACAATTTGTTCCCCTCACATGGGGAAGACATCCCAAGGCACTGGACAGGGAAGTATCCGCACCCAAGCTGGGGGTTGGAGTCGAGGAATGGAGGGCAAGGGGGATGGAGGTGGGAAGATGACTGAAGGCATGCTCAAAGAAGAAGGTCAAACATTGTATACATTCCTTGCCAAAAGTCGCCACAAAGAATCTGAGGAAAGAGGGCGAGCAACCCTCAGCGTTTCCTGTCAACAAGCAGTCATAAAAGCAATTATGGGAGATGAGGCCATGCAGCAAAATAATCATTACTGGAAAGATTAAAAGTCATGAACTGCTTAAAAATCAGTTGAGCGAGCATTCATTATTGATCAAGGAAAACTAAACTATTTCCATTCTGATGCCTATTCATGACAATCATTGCTCAGGTCTTCTGGGAAACTTTGAGGAGGTGGGTGGAGAGTGAGGGACTAGTGTTCTCCACAAAATAGCAGCTGAATCTTTGCAGTGCATCGGTATTCCACAAATATCGTGCAGAACATTTTTTTATTGCAAGTAGAGAAATTGGAAAAAATGAAGCAGAACATACAATTAGTCAGATGAGGAAACATTGAAGTCCCTCTTTCAGGGCATTTAACTTTTGTGTTACTGAAACCCAATTGCATTAATATGTGGTACTGCACTCAGGGATTCCAAAATGCTGCATCATAGAGCAATTGAATGCAGTCGCAGTCACTGTCCTAAGAAAAATATAATAATCAGTATTTTTAGATAAATTCTAAAGTAGTTATACTGTAGTTTTGAGCCCAAGAGTATAATTGTTAGGGATTTTAAACAATCCATTTTAACAATAAACCAAACCAATGTTTCAAATGTTCTTTGGATCAAATTTAATGAAAACAGGTGAGAATGATGATAGTAAGAACGTTTTCTTAGAACTCTCAAGACTCCTATTAACCTATTTTTGTATCCTTTTCACACGTTATAGACTTGGGATCTGTCTTATTAAATACTTAAACTAAATGAGCATTCATTGTGCTGGTGGCAGTCTTTTGTATAAGCTAAAATGCTTTTAAGTGCAAAGAGGTTGCTCCTTTTAATATTGTGACATCTTAAGTTAATTGTTGCTTATTGTTAATCTAAACATGATTCTGCTCAACCTACAGTACAGGAACTCCACCACCCATAAACGTCAACACATCCAATAAACTGCTGCCCGCATCCTCACCCACACCAAACTCTGTTTGTTAATCACCCCAGTCCTCACTTTATTCACAATCAAGCGTATCCTCTAAGATCCAAATTGCCATTGGTTTGCCACTGAAGAAAGTCCTTTGAGGCATTCTTGATGTCTGATGGTCGATTGAGCCCATGTGTCACCATAGCTGACATCCATTATTTTCCCAACCATAGGCAGTGAATACTTGTCACTGTTATCTCCCAGCAAATTGTTGACATTTCTTTAAAGTTCATTTTCACATTGTGCTTGTCATCATTGCCATTTCCATTTTTTTTGTGTTGGATTCCGAGGACCATGAAAAGTGCAACTGAGCTTTGCTATAATCCTGGTACCTTCATCCAAGCATGACCCGAGTTGCTGAGAATCTGTCTGCAATTCTCAATGTGCAAAAACTCGAAGAGGTGGCAGCCAAGCTTCCATGATTCCTCACCTGATGCCAGAGAATGTCCACTTAACCAAATCATCACACATCAATATAATTACATTGCCATTCAAATTTACCATTACTTCAGCTGCATTACTACTAAAGTCTGAAGGTTACTAAAGGTTACAGAACCTGCTACAGAGTTGATTGAAGTCATATAACAGGTTTTAGAGGCTTCTCCATATGTTTCCTTATGGGACTGTTGTAGAAGACTCCTGATCCTATCTGTGATAGGAATGTGGAATTCTAAGGAACCTTCTCTGAGACGTATCTGTCTTTGACTCTTTTATTCTATGACAAGCTGCAGTTGTCACCTCTGAGAACCTGCTCCACACTATTCAAAATAGCTTAAAAACCATACATTCCCAAGCTTACACAACCACTCAAGAGCTGCTGCTACGTAACCATTTTATGTCTGGATGGTTATTTCTCTGAATATTTGGTATTCCCATTTCATTTTGTAGACAATATGGACAAAAAAAAACCTGCTCTGGATAAAATCTGTTAACTGAGCACAGGCCATGGATGACACAGGTCTTTGGTCAGTGTCAGTCCTCCTGACGTGAAAGACGCTATCCAAATGTAATTTGTTGTTGTTGTTTCCTTAGAGTTGCTCGCTGAACCAAAAGGGAGCCTTAATTCTCTTCTTTGTATTCATCCATGTGAATTAAGAAATTGAGGCAAAATTGTACATTTTTAGTTTTAACAGCTCCAAGTATAACTGAGAGAATGGCTGTATAGACAGAGCTAAGATTTTGCTATTACACCAAATGATCATTAAAATAAACACAATGTACTTTCAAGGCACTTTTATAATTAGCTCATAGTTGGATTCCATCATGGTACCGAAGGAAAGTAGGATCTGTAATTATTGCTATATGATCAGTAATTAATGTAATGTGTAATTGAATATTATATTTTCAGCCGTTTGCTTTGTTTTATATTCAGGAACCCACCTGTAAGTGAGAACGAGTGGAGAGGTTTGCTGCAAGATCTGCTGGAAATGCAGCAAACTGTTTACAAGTGCCTGAACTCCAATACATGCTATGAGGTAAAGCAACTATAATCTTGTCCGAGCTCTGCTAGTTTAGGTCAAATTATTTGGACGGTTTGCGAGGATAGGGAAAGAGGGTTTGCATGTGTCTGCTGAAGGGTTGACCAAGGATCAGCATTGATAGTGTCTGCAAGATTACATTGTCATGGCTGTCTAATTGATGAAGATGAACGGGAACTGGGTTTGGATAAGAAAGAGGAAGAATAAATTGGATTATTTAAAAAAAAGTTGGGTATTACAATTGAATTCTTTTTTAAAAAATGTTTGAAAATCCTATTTAAAATCCCCTTTCAAAACCAGGCCTGATGTCAGGTGTAATTCTTTTGTTCTTGATCATTCAGTATCAACTTGACTTATCACAGTAAAGGAATATTGTTTCCTTAAGTGCTAATTTTCCTCAATGTTTCCATAAGCCTTTATAGAAGTTTTTCACCTTTCAGATATTTACGGAGAGCCTGTTGTGCTCCAGTCGTTTGGAGAATATCCGATTGGCTGGGCAGATGATGCACTGCAACGCTGTATTTGTGGACCAGCCTGTTAGTGTTGCCTCCAGAGGCAAAGTGCATTCCAAGGTCAGCTATAAGAAAAGCATTGAATTGGTTCTTACCGCTGCCAGAGAATATTTTGACTCATCAACCACCTTGACAGATAATTGCATGGATTTAGCCAGGTAATCAATGAAAGAGATGGTGTGTTTTTTCTGCAAATGCATTTCTTGTTTATTTTAAATATAAAGACTAACTGTACATTCATTGATATCTTCTTAGTATGCTCTGTTAATCTTATCCTCAAATATTTTCAGATAGTGCCGTTGTCAAAATAGATTTTTCTAGTCAATAGGCTTATTTGCACTCAAATACCTTACTTGTGCAGGATTTTAACATTGCTCTGAAGATTGAACTTTGAAAAGCTAGGTAAAATTGCTTGTGTAAATCGAGTTTAAATTGTTCTAAAATTAGCTAACAGGTAACTGCCAAATATTAAAAGTGTACCTACCGACATTGAATGTAGTGCAACTTCAGCTCAGGGAAACGTTCACATAAACAACGAGAGTTGCATCATTCAGTGAAATCTCTGTAGGATAAGTGGTTAGCTACATCAAGAGTGAGAGTGGGAAAATAAGTCTCTGGGAAATGTCGGTATATGAGATTTTTGGTTTGAAATATGCTGATCTCAAGATAGGAGTGTCTCAATTTTGTTCTAGGATTGGTTGTCACTGGATACAGACCAGTACCATAAGGAATGTAGCCAATGCTGGTTGAGCAAGATAGCAATGTTTTCTGACGTGTGCGGAGAGCAAATGATAACTTTTCATATGACTGCAATTCTAGTACCATGACATGTACGGTGACCTATTTTTTTTTATTTAAGGGGCACTGTTTGTGAAAGAGAGAAATGGAAGAGTTGCGGACCATTTTTGTCACAATAGCATCATATTTGAATATTGCAGTGGTTGTGTATTTCAGCACAGTTTATGACCTTGTATAATTTTTTGATGAACCAAAACAAATTCATGAATTTCAAAGAATTAATTCCACACACACCTTAAACTGGTGCACTCAAGATCATAAAATTTCTCTGCATTTCTGTTATACACGTTTTTTTTTCAATTTGTGAATGTACGTTTTGATGCCACATGACATGTCAGGTACATGTTTTTTTTGGTAATTGTGACGCATTGCAATTAGTTTGTCTGTTTTTCTGTTCTCAAATGTCACTCACGATCAGCTTATGTCATTTTAAATGGCAGTTTTATGTCTCAGAATGACAATGTATCAGAAATGTCATCGGTTCCTATTTGTGGTATAAGTCACTTGTTTCTGAATAAAGTAGTTCTATTGGACAGTGCAGGTGTGTAGGTGAATTAGACAGATTAAGTCTCATTTTTTTTCGTAACTGTAGCAAAATGCATTAATCTGATGAACTGTTAGATTGTTAAAAAATGTTGCATTTACTTGGAAGCAATGTCCACATCTAAGAAAATTGTTGCCATAGGAGTTTTGTTTTCATACAGAAAAATGCAAATAAACACAAAAGTTTTTTTTAGGAAAAATACATATTCATAATGTTCAAGTGGCTCGACCAGCAATTAGAGAGATCTCTAACATATTTTCACATCATTGTACATCTTGTGCAAATAATTGTTCTGGATTTTGTATTGTTCTGGATCCTGTGCATCTTATCAGCTTGGATCTTTTGTACCTTTTACTGTCTTGAATTCTGTCCACCTTTTAGTCTTGTTCCGGATCTTGTGTACCTTATTCCGGATCTTGGACCATCTCCAACATGCCCTTTGTCCCCAAGGAGCTGGAACATGTTGTTGCCTCCCAACTTTGCTCCTTCCTTTCTCATTCCCTGTAAGGTCCCTCCAATCTGGCTTTCATCCCACCCATATCTTAGTCAAATTCACAAATTATATCCTCTCCATCTGCAACCAGAGCTCCTTATCCTCATTGATCTATCTGCCACCATTGAAACTGATGATCAGTCCGTCCTTCTCTACCAAGTCTTGTCCATGATACACCTCTATGGCTCTGCATTTTCCTTGTTTCATTCATATCTGTCTAAATGCTTTCACTTTCTCTCTTAAAATTACTTATTTTCATGCCCCCCACATGATTGTGCCTAAAGTGTCCAAAGACTTTACAAAGATGGAGTGGGAAACATTGGGAAGGGGTAGAGGCTCATGTGGAATATAAACAGTAGCAAGAACTAGTTGCCCTTGAATGGCTGTAGGGATTGGATTCCAATCCCACACTTGCTTGTGTGATTCCGTTACCCTCTCATATGTGACGGGCTCTATCTAAGGGCATATTCTGATTGTTGTGCTCTTTGCTCGAGGTCCTATGATTGTGCTTGTTGTTTTGAAACTTGTGTACATTTTTAGTGCTCTTGGTGGCTGGAGGACCGCTTTGAATATTCATTATTTTTATTTAGTTGTAGCATAAGCTATATGCCTAGGTTTGTTCGTGTGAAATGTAAGTGGCATTTTTTAATGGTCCAATTTTGTGTCCGATACATAAAGAATTAGAGTGATTTTAAAATTAAACTAATGTTGTTGCACATTGTTTCTGTCATCTGTGCATCAGTTTTTGCAAACTGACAAAAATGATTTATGGTAGTGGTGGCAGTTTATAAGATCATGTTACAAAAGCCTGCAATTACTCAATTTTGACAGAAATTTCTGCTTAGCTAAAGCACAACCAGTATAGTTGTGAATGTTGGAAGACTACAAAATAGTCCTACTTAGTAGAGAAACTTGAATGCAACATTTGCTTCAGTTTTAAGTATTTCTGTTGATATTAATTATGCAAAACTGTCATCCAGGCTCAGTTGGTAGCACTCTTGCCTCAGAAGCCTGTGGGTTCAGGCCCCACTTCGGGACTTTGAACTCATGTCTTCTAGGCTGACATTCCAATGCATTGCTGGGGGTTTGTTGCATTGCTGGAAGTCTTTTGGATGAGATGTTAAACTGAGGTCCTGTCTACCTTTTCAGGTGAATGTAAAAGGCACTGCTTGGTAAGAGAATGGAATTTCTCGATGTGAAAGGTGCTGTATTAATTGCAAGAATTATTATTTTTATTAAAATCCACTGAAGTTAGGATTAGGAGGTCATATTTATCATCATTTCTATATTGAACTGCTTTGCACTGTGCAGACTTGCAAGTAGCCATAATGTATGTTGTGTCACGAAAGTGATTGATGGTAATGGAAACTGATTATGTCACCTGTCTGTAAACTTTAAATTCACCACTCTCTGGTGTTACTTATTGTGTTGTTAGGTGCTGCTTACAGCTCATCACAGACCGCCCCCCTGGCATTCAGGAAGAGCTTGATCTTATTAGTGCTCTCAGCCTGTTAGAGGAGTTCAACATGAAGATCTTGCCCATGCAAGGTACGGTCATTTGTTTCTCTTTAATTACAATACAGTTTACACTTATATAGCACCTTTCATGTTGGGAGGACGTCTCCAAGGGCTTGGGTAGCAAAACTGAGGGTGAGAGCTAAAGGGGTGAGGAACGGAATGAAGTTTCAAAAACCAAGCACAAAGTAGCTGGAAGCCCACTGGCTACGGTGGTCTGGATAGAGCGGGCACTCGCAGTAAGTCTCAGCTCTCTGAGACACTACCCTGTGGGAAAGGCACAAAATAAATGCAAGATGTTGTAGTAGTAGGCCATTGTTAGCCAAGCAAAGGGAAAGGCCAGATTGGTATGGATGAACAAGGTCAGAAGAGGTAGTTGCAGCGAGACCCTGGAGTGATTTAAATGGGAGAATTCCACTATGAGCTGGGGGCAGCCAGTGGAGCAAAGCAAGGAGGGACTTGGACTATGCTTCTAAAAAAGTAGATGTCTTAGCAAAATATTTTGCTTTTGTACAAAATTTAACCCCCCTCCCCCCAAAAAAAATTGCTATCTGTGCGATTTTACTGCCAAGACATTAGACACTGCATATGCCTCTTACATAACCACTGTACTTTAAAACCATCACCTCTGCTGCTGTTGCCTTCAGGTGGTCTTTCATTACGAGTTCAACTCTGCATCATTATTAGATGGTCAAAGATGGTGAATGATATATGCAAAATAAAGTCTTACCTGTAAACTTCCAATATGCTGAGATATGATTCATCCATAAAACAGTACAGCAATGGCAATGCCTGAATTTTTTTTTGCAACAAAAAGGAAAAAAGAGATTTCACGATTAGATTCTGTTTAAATTGTCAAGTTTTATTTATTTTAGCTGCAAATGTTTCAGGAAAAATGTGAATAGTTACTAACCTTGGCAGTTTATAGTTTTCAAAGGATGGAAATTTTATTTTGATTTTGTGTAATATTTCATGCTCCTGTATGAAATTACCTTTCTTTGTAGTTCTAATTAATTGTACTGATTATTTTGGTAGGGAAATGTGCTTGTGCTCTGTGTTATGAATTCTGGAACAAGGTTTATTTCCCTCGAGCACACCATGAAGCAGTGCTTTTGCGATGCAACCCAGTGAATAAGCTGACTTGTATATTTCTTCTCACATAAGAAACCATTAAAATGTTAAACAAGATGTTGCAAAAGCTATTGCATATCATTAGTCAGCATAATTAACCAGCTGTTACTGTATATTGACCAAACCAATTAATGAACAAAGTGTAATTTTTCATACAATTTATGCTTAAAGACATTGCAGCACTCATCAATGTAAGCGAAATAGGACTAAGGTAAGTGTTTCTAACATGCTAGGAATTGATAAATTGATTTGTTTTTTCAATTTATCAAAATTGTGTTTTCAAATACCCTTTTGTGTTTCTCCACATGTGTTTATTGTTGGGGGTTGGTCTAAAGTTTGAATTTTAGATTTTTCTTGGTTAGCTAGATGTCTGGAACCTGCAGAAACCCAACATCATGCTTAGGAATATCCAGGCCAGATTGAAAGTTCCACACATGTATGCAACCTACTTATGGAAATTTTCATGTGTCTGCAATGGAATGCGCACTCTCTTCCTAGAAGGATATACCCAGCTTCCCTAATTCCAGACAATACAAGGTCAGGTGGGCTTGGGTGCCCCAGGGTGTGGGTTGGGATACTGCTGGAGTTTAACAGGTTAAAAACGCATAGCTTGCCCCCATTGAAAGCACTGTTTGATAAGCTTTCCGCTGCTTAACATAATATGTAGGAGCAGGACTAGGCCATTCGGCCCTTCGAGCCTGCCCCGCCATTCAATCATGGCTGATCTTCTAATCTAACTCCAGCTAAAAACCTGACTTTGCCTTATCCCCATATCCCTTAATCCCTTTTGCAATAAGAAATCTATCTATCTCAGTCTTGAATATGTTCAAGAATTGAGCATCAACAGCCCTTTGGGGTAGCCAGTTCCATACACTCACCACCCTTTGAGTGAAGCAGTTCTTCCTCAACTCAGTGCGAAAGGGCTGGCCTCTGATTTTAAGGTTGTGACCCCCTGGTTTTAGTTTTTCCAACCAGGGGAAACAATCTCCCACTATCTACTCTATCATGCCCTTTGATGATCTTATAGATTTCTATAAGATCCCCTCAAATTCTTCTATATTCTGGAGAATATAGGCCCAAATTGGTCAGCCTATCCTTGTAACTCAACCCCGTTATCCCTGGTACTAACTTAGTAAATCTACGCTGCACCCCCTCCAAGGCAAGTACATCCTTCCTTAAATGAAGAGACCAAAACTGGACACAGTATTCCAGGTGTGGTCTCACCAGGGCCCTATACAGTTGCAGCAAGACTTCCCTACTCTTATACTCTAATCCTTTCATAATGAACGCTAACATACCGTTCGCCTTCCTAATTGCTGCTGCACCTGCAGACTAACTTTCTGTGATTGGTGTACAAGGACACCCAAGTCCCTCTGGACGCTAACACATTCCAATCTCTCCCCTTCTAAAAAATAACCCGCTTTACTGTTTTTGCTACCGAGGTGGATGACTTCGCACTTCCCTACATTATACTTCATCTGCCACCTACCTGGCCAATCACCTAACCTATCTATGTCTCACTGCAGTTTTTAATGTCGTCCTCTGTGTTGACACTTCCTCCTAGTTTTGTGTCATCTGCAAATTTAGATATATTAACTTCGATGTCCTCATCTAGATCATTGATGTAGATGGTAAATAGCTGAGGCCCAAGGACTGATCCTTGTGGCACTCCACTAGTCACATCCCACCAATCTGAAAAGGACCCGTTTATCCCTACTCTTTGTTTCCTACCCGTTAACCATTCCCCAATCCACGTTAATATGCTCCCCCCAATTCCATGGGCCCTAAACTTTTGGACTAAGCTTTTATGCGGCACGGCACCTTATCGACACCTTGCTTGTCTATCTAGGACCATCCTACTTGTTAGGACTTTGTTTTGCAGGGTTAACTGGAGCTCAATAGGAACAGTCCATTCTCCCAGTTGTTAGTTTGCTCCTCCAAGTCCTGCTGATGAGTCAGGCTGACTGGTCCATAATCAGCAGTGTCCTGGATACTGCGGACCCACTTAGGATGTGGACTATCAAGACTGCCACAGAGGGTTCTGACACCTCATTGCTAAGTACATCAGCTGACTGGCCCTGCTTACCTATCTTTCTCCCACACCACCTCCCCACCCCTAGGTGAAGGATTTTAAAAAAAGAGGTGAGATAGAGTAAAAAATGTGGGTAGTACAGTGCCAGACCAATTTCATAATCTCATTGTTCAGGGATAAAACATCCTTGATGCTCATTTTGTTGATCACAGAAAACCATGTCTACACTCAAGCAGAAACTAGTTTTGTTTATGAAAGATCATATTATAATTTTCTTCCCAATTTTCTTATTTTCCTAGAAATGGTCTAGTCCTTCCATGAGCACTTTGGCATTCTGTACCTGTAAATGGAAAATTCCACTAACCATGTGCATCGTCAAAGTGCACTGGACTAAAAGAACCAAAACATGGAGCATCACCTCTTAGGTTGTTATTATGATTATAGAAGTGGCTTGGTTAAATTGTACAGGGACTGAGTTTGTAACAGTTGATGGTAAATACCTGAGAGGTGTTTCAGCTTTCCTTATCACCATTTATCTCAGTAGTTCTGCAAAGATGCTTTCCTGTGTCAATGTTTAAAGCAGCGTTCAAAAATAACCAAAAGACTATTGAAGTTGACCAAGAATTATTTTGAACTTGATATTAAAAAGTTATGTGTAAGCATGCTTCGATTGACCAAACAAAGAGCAGTATCTGTGTTAATAGATGTGGAGAAGTCTACAACTTGCTCATCAATTCGGAGGATGATTGAAGCTGAAAGCTGCTGGGATATGTAGGGACTTATAGCAGCTAGAGATATGAAAATGACTAGAAAAATATATGAAAAAGATCTTATGGAGAACATTTGACATAAATCATGTCTGGGAACTAGAATTTAGTTCAGCCATCCATTCCATTTCCATAGTAGCCCTTAATTTATTGATGAGGTTTTTCTACAATTATAAACACACATTATTATGGCATGGACACTGTTGTGACTGTTTATTGCAACTTTTATTTTTAGCATTCGACTTGTTTAAATGTAATTAAAGATTTTCACTGCTCTATTTTTAACAGTACGGATGCGCATAGATCGACTCAGTCTCATAAAAGAGTGCATCAACCAGTGCCCGTCAGCTTATAAACAGTCAAAAAAGCTCTTGAGGCTTGCGGATTTACTGAGAGTAGCGGGTAAGTGCTTGTTCTCGGTCATCTGCTGCATTAGATGTGGTTACGTTTCATTAATTTGATGATGATAAATGATTATGAACAAAACGTTTCTTATTCTGTCTTCAGTGCATCTCTGCACTAGCTAGTGCAGTCTTTGTGTTTTGTGATGTCAGTGAAATATGAATTACTCACAGATAACTCAATTTGCAGGATATTTCGTAGAAACATTTTTTTAGGCAGTTAAACTTTATTTTAACAAACTTTAGATTTTATAGCATTTATATACTAAATTTAAGGTATTTGATTCAAGATATTTTGTATAAATATAAAGCCAAGAATCAATAGTGCTGGTAATTCTGGTCATATTTGGAGGGAAAAAATGTAATATGTTGTTATGGTTAAAAATATTGACATATTTTCAAACATACAGTGGAGTCCTGTAGCTCAGTGGTAAGAACACTCTCCTCACAAGCGAGAGGACCTGGGTTCGATTCCCCAGCAGTAAATAGGAACCCGGTTGTTAGTCTGTTGGCGGATTGCTTTTCTTGGGGTAATAGTGCCTTAAAAAAAAATAATAATTTGGTCACTAAATCCACTACTGTTTGTAGGACACTGCTGTGTACAATTGGCTGCTGTGCTTTGCCCAGAAAACATTCAATCAGTTAACTTTACAGTATAATGAAGCGATTGATACGTCTTGAAGACATGATAAGGCTCTATATCAAATCCAATTATTATGTAGGGAAATCCTCATTATTAGATAGAATTAGGTGTCGACCTGGCTCATTTGGTAGCACTCACAACTCTAAGTCAAAAGATTGTGGATTCAAGTCCCACATTGGGACTTTGAGCTCACAGGCTATGGTGAAATTCCATGGTAATGCTAATTACCGGTTGGTCTGCTTGATGTTCCCTGCCTGATCTACCTCAACATTGGTGGAGGCCTACCTCAATACCTATCATCCTGACTGCATTGTCAGCTTTGGACTCCCAGTCAGCTTTGTGAAGTATTTTGAAAACTACCAATGCTATATAAATGTAAATTGTTCTATTGATTTTACAAACATTTGCTCATTGGGTATTATTTTCTACAGCACAAATTATTAATAGCGTTTTGGAATATAAAATGAAGTTTTCTTTATACTCGTAGGGTAATATAGACTTTGTCAACTAAATTTCGAGGGAGGGCTATTAAAGTGAGTGTTATAAATGTAGTTCAGAAGGCAGCCTGAAACATTTTTTGGAGTGCGAAGGGATTCAATGATTGGATTAGAAGGCAGTTGGACAGTTTTGGTGTTTGGAAAAACAAGAAGAATATGGTTTTGTCTTATTCTTGTGAACGTCATGGAAATTCGCTGAACTTTGTTTTGCGTATTTCCCCATATGCTCTGTCTTAGTTTAAATCAGGCTACTATCTCCCAACAGAAGTGAACTTTAATTTATTTGATAATAGTCTCTTGATTGCACAGTTCGATTTACCTTTTCTGCCTTTTATTTTGAAATCATAACAGGCGAAGATAAAGCGCAGAGGAAAGGACAGGTCTTGGTGCTGTTGGCTGAGCAAGCGTTCCAATGCCTGGATTACAAAGTTGCCAGTATCCACTGCCAGGAGCTTATGTCTGCAGGTGATTGTCCATTTTGATTGCACTAGGCTTTTGGTGCTTCAAATCAGACTAAGCATGTGATATTGGTGCAATCCTTAAACAGTAATGTCTCTTCCCCAATATCGAAATTCAATTCTACATCAATTTCAAAATATAAATTCCTAATCAGTTAATAGTGATTTTCTGCAGACAAGAATTAACATAGAAGGAAGGACCAACTATAAATATATAAGTTTAATGAAATTTCACTTAATTGGAATGAGAACTGCAGTAGTTGATCAGGCGCAATTTATCAGTTTATATCTCAACTTTCTCACTCTATTTCTTTCACCTTGTTTAGTCTGTCTGCTTCTGCTTTCACAGCCAGATTTGCACCACAGAGCTCTAATGAGAGTTTTAGTAAACATAGAAATGAAAAGAAAAGCTCTAACTTTAAAAATTCCATGCACACTCTTGCATTAGTCTGGTCAGATTGGTAGACTACTTTTCCAACTATCTCAGCTCTAGCAAAATGTTCTGACTTGACTCCACCCCGCTCACTATCCACTTTCACTCTGACCTCTTCGTTTTTGACCTTCGCTGATCTGCCCCAACCAAGGCGTACACAGGATCAGAATCGCAAAAAAGTCAAAAGATTGTAGTCATCACTGGTTTACAATTGTCAAAGATCACAAGAGGTTTAAATTGAAAAAAAGATTGCCCATTTTTGGGGGACCTGACTTCCTAGTCTGACTTGTGGGGAAACCCATCACCTGCTTAAGAGTTACCCAAACCAGACTGAGAGTTCCACATATTTATGCCACTTACATAATGAAATTTCCCTGTGTCTGGAATGCAAAGTGTACTCTTGAATTAATTCCAGGAGAATGAGGGGTCTGTGCTGTGGACATGCAGTGCAGTACACTTAGAGCGCTGAATAGAAAGCTGGCTGGACATTAAAAGAAAAACAGTGAACAACAAAGAGTGACAACCTATAAGCATTGACTAGTGGGCATTTCTTAGCACACTGCTTTATAACGTGGGGTCTGTGTTTCTGACCCAAACCATCACGTTATAACATTGTCCTGTACCTCTATGAAGGCCCTCTATGTAAACTCTTCAAAGCTAAAGGTTTGACTGTCACACCTCTTTATTAAGCAACCTACTATTTTTTTCCTACTGTGAATCTGCACCAAAGTATTCCACTTTCCTTGTTTGCTCTCAAACAATTAAACGCCTCTGATGCCTGATTATTGTTCCTCAATTTGCTTTGTTTGCACACTACCTTTTCCATGATTTCTTCGCGCTCCAAAACACCTTCCAGCGTGAAAGGTGCTATGTAAATGCAAGTTGTTGTTTCTTTAACCTGTTTAAAAAATGTGTACACTGTTAATAACCTAACTTAACTGTTTAGTTTTCACTTGCTCTAATCTTCTTGTGCTTGTATGTATGGCATATACATTAGTTGTACTTCCAATGTACTGTAAAAAAAAATTATTTAAGAGCTCCAAGACGGTATCCTTGTGAAAGGTGCTTTATAAATGCAAGTTGTTGGTTAAACATGTTTTACTCATAGTTTCTAAGTCTTAATTTCAGCAGAATGGCTAGGGATCCTAAAGTATGTTCCAAAGAATGCAGAATAAAAGTGAGCCTTTATTTAAACTGCTAGAATTCATCTTAAAGGTGTGGAGTCCTGTAGCTCAGTGGTTAGAGCACTCGCTTTGCAAGTGAGAGACCTGAGTTCAATTCCAGGCAGGGCAAAACCTTGGGCAAGTTTCCTTACTCCACACGCCTAATAATAATCCCTCCAAAAAACAAAAACAATAATAAATTGGTCATTTTCAATCTACGACTGTTTGTGGGACATGGCTGTGCGCAATTGGCTGCCGCGTTCGCCCACAAATATACAGTCAATTCACTTTACAGTGTGTTCTGTGAAGCGCTTTGGGATGTCCTCCCGACGTGAAAAGCGCTATATCAAATGCAAGGATTATTATTATTATTATTAATTGTGTGATTTTGGTTAAGATCATGTTTCAAGTGCAGTATGAAAACATTGGCAGTACCATGTTTTTTAGGAGAAAATAAAACATGTTATATGTTAAAAAAAATTAAAAAATAAATAAATAATAATTTGGTTACACAATCCACGACTGTTTGTGGGACACTGCTGTGTGCAATTGGCTGCCACATTTCTCTCACAAAATATACAGTCAATTCACTTTGCAGTATATTCTGTGAAGTGCTTCGAGATGTCTAGAAGAGGTGATATAGCGCTATATCAAATACAAGGATTATTATTGTTTTGTGGCTAAGTGTGATCTTTCTTGTCATGATCTGAAGAGATAATTATGCATCACCAAAGCGGGTGTTGACCTAGCTTTAATTAATGGAATAATGGATGGTTGTTTTGTCTTTCTCTCACAGGTTACAGTGATGGTTGGCAGGTGTGCAGCAAACTAGGGCAAGCTGAAGGCTACCCTGACTTGGTCACTCGACAGGAATTAATGGCCTTCGCTCGCACTTACTGCCCTCCCAATGTTATCCAATCTCTGCTGGCTGTTAGCAGCTCATTACAGACACAGGTATGGGGGAGTAAACCATCCTGTGAAACTTCAAAGGACATGATTATTGAATTTATACCCTTTGAAATTCCACTGCTAAATCTTGAGTATTTTTTTAAAAAAATTATTCAATGCTGGTACTTTTTTTAAAAAAAAGCTTTAATGGAAAACACTGTTTGATTCTTGGTTCTGCATTGTGGCACAATTGGTCTGTCATCATGTTGAACCATTTCATTCCTTTAAAGAATACTTTAGATTGTTTTTAATTTGCTAGCTTGGCTCCTTTTTCTCTCCCACTCCCAATGATTATGTTTAGATTGTCAGCAAGTTTTATTGGTCTTTCTGCACTGGAAACAATCTTTGCCTGATTGTCCAACTTGGGGGAAGATAGATAAATCTCTTCCGTTGCCTTCCTGACTCAGCTCCTACTTCCCTGTTGCCTCCGCAACACAGTCACTGGTTGCAGTTTGCATGTTTAGGAACCTCAATAATCAGTCATGGGAGATGCACTCTATTATAGAGGTGCCCAAATAGAAATTTGCGAAATTTCTATGATAACTCCACTTTTTGAGATTCACATTCGTTTTCAAACATCAACACCAAACCAATTTGAAAAGTAGAGCTATTTTAATGAAAATGTTGCCCAATAGAAGGCAGACTTCTGACTAACTGACTTAATCCATATATATTTCAAGAACCTGCTTTTCATTTGTGGTCAATTTGCTGCTCCCTTACTCTATTGGGAATATTAGTAACCAGGAGTGTCGAACTTTTCCATTTTTAAAATGTTAATTGCTCTAAAGTAAAATTGCTCCAGTTATTATTTCTGCTTTTCATTTAATTTTAAAATCTGTAAATGGGAATGAATTACCCCTAAACCTGAAATAACTCCACATGCTATTTCAGATGATTAAAATCACACAAATTATTTTCTATTTTGGCTCATAATCTATAGTGCTGGAAGTGCATATCATTGTTTGAAGTTCTACCCTTTAGATGAGACATTAAGCTGACGCTTGCCTGCTCAGGTTAAAGATCTCACACACTATTCAAAAAGTGAAGGGAGTTTCTCCAAATGTCTTGGTCAATTCCCCCAAATAAAAACAAGTCATTCACTTCATGGTTTTCATGGGACATTCTTGGCACAAATTGGCTTGGCATGTTTGCCTATAAATACAGTCAACATACTTTGGTGGGATAAAGTGCAACGTCAAATGCAAGTACAGTCAAGCCCTGTTATAATGTGGTGTTTGGAATCCATAAAATCCTTACGTATATTAAAGCCAGGCGTGCAAGCAGGGTTGACAGCAGATTTGGAAACCAGGGACTCACTCCCTTAGCTCCAGTCTGTTCCTTCACTAAAAGAAAAAATTACTGACATCTGGGTCATAACATCATTTCCCATTTCCGGTGCATGTGCAAAGGAGGAAGTGATGTTGGAGGACTCTGATACAAATTACAACCACAACCTACATTTATATAACCTAAATTTATACAAACTACACATTTATATATGTAATTATACAAATTACAACATTGACCTATATTTATGTCCAGCGCCTTGGGATGTCCTTCACATCGGAAGGATGTCCCAAGGTGCTGGACAGTTGAGCAAGGGTTTGCACGCAAGCTGAGTGTTGGAATCAAGAGGGGTGAAGGGTAGGGGGGTAGGAGAGTGACGAAGGCATGGTCAAAGAGGAAGGTTTCGAGAGGGGTCTTGGAGGGTGAAGATGCAGGGCGTCTAGGATGGAGTTACATGGGGCAGGGGCAGAAAAACGGCAATGATGGAACAGGCAGGGCGTGGGACATGGAGTAAGCCAGGCACCATCAAGCGGAGAGAGCGGACAGATTGGTATGGTGTTAATAGCTTGCAGAGGTAGGCAGGAGCAAGACGGTGGAGGGCTTTAAAAGTGAAGACAAGGATTTTAAACTTGATCCTCTGAGGGATGGGAGTCGTTGGAGCCGAGCAAGGATTGGGGTGATAGGTTGACAGAGCTGGGTACGGGAAAGGACACAAGCTGCAGAGTTCTGAATAATCTGCCCTTAAGGAGGGAGGAGTTGGCAAGTCTGGGAGCAGGGAGTTAGTGTAGGCAAGCCTGGACATGATGAATACCTGAACGAGGGTCTCAGTGGCCTGAGGGAAGAGGTAGTGGTGGAGGCAAACATTATTGTGGAGGTGATTGTAAGGCAGAATAGGTCATGGCAAGGATAGTTGAGGGTCGAACAGGTGGAGAGTGCATCCGGGAATAGTGATTCTGTGACAGGAGCCAAGCAGGAGAACCTCCACCTTATCAATATTCAATTGGAGAAAGTTAACTCTCATCCAGGACTTCATGTCTGACATACAATCCGCCAAAACAGCAGTGGCAGATGATCTGAAAGTCAACCACTGATTTAGTGCAGGAAACTAATACAAAAAATCTAACCAGTGTTGAATGTAGCAGTTTTGAATTGGGAAGGTATAAGTGGGCATAAGATCACTTCACTGCTTCAAACTGCATCCCAGTAATAAAAGTCAACTGATTCTTCCAACAATTGCCTTGCGGCATATTAGATCACACTTAAGAGGTTTTCAATGTATTACATTATAATGTTTTTTTAATATTTATAAACTTCATTTTGTGCTAAGTAAAATCCTCAGTTTTATGCATTTGTGATTAGGATATGTACAGGAGGCAGTTTGTTTCTTAAGAGTAATTTGTGATGAATTTGAATGGTGAGCGTTGGTACATTACATTTTTAAAAATGTTCTTCTAGGTTCTGTATCAAGCTGTGAATTATCAGATTCAGCCGTCAGAGAGTTGTGAGCCTACGAATTCTACAGGCTACACTCAGCAGGTCAGCACTCAAGAGCCTTAAAAGCAGCATGATTCTTACCACCTTTTTGAAATACAATTTTGCCTTCCAATCCCATGCATGAAATAAGAACACTATTGTCTCGTAACCTTTCAGAGGCAAATGAATAACAAAATTGTGTGGGTAATGAGATCTGACCGAGGATCTCACCCAAAAAGTTACCTCTCTTGTTCTTTTTGATGCTTATCTATCTGCTATGCATTTATAGCAGCTTGTTTCTCTTCCAGATTTTGAGAGTTCATGTTTCCTTCTGTTTGACCTCCCAAATGAGCTAGCTTTTCTCATGGACGATTCCATGGATGCTGGCAGCCCTCACGTCCTGGGACTAAGGGGCCCATTTTTTTGTGTGGGTGTTGGGAGGCTAATTATCAGTGTTTACTCGAATATTGTTCAGAAGCTTAAAATTATGTTTGAGTTCTTAATAATTTGCATGGAAGCAAGGTGGAGACTTCCCCTTTTTATTAGATTTATCTTCTGACAGCCAGGGTTCTGGACTTCTTTTAGAATCACCTGGCGACTTAGCAGGGTTTTCTAGCACATAATCATTTTGAGAGATCATACATTGGGAGAGTAAATTGTTTTCTAAACCTTACACTGTTTGTGGAAATACTAAACACTTTTTTAAAAAAAAACTAGTTTTTATTCCTCATGTGGTAGTGTAGAATGAAGCATTCTGTATAAGGGTGCTGATGTTTTAGGCATTTAGATGAGGCTACCATGCTTTGATGGCTGCCATGTGAGGTTGTAGTGAACCTATTGTGTCTCGATTTTGAATTTATAGACTGATGCAAAGGCTTCAAGCAGTCAATCCACTGATCTGCTACAACGAACAACTGCTAAAACCATGGAGGTTCTCAGCAATACTTCTATGACAACTAAGGCAGTGCTGCATGCCGTCAGTGATGCACAGTGGTGGAAGAAGTCCCTCAGTTACCTACGTCCTTTACATGTAAGGTCTTGTAATGTTCTTATCTAAATATTTTTTATTTAATAATAATAATCCTTGCATTTGATGCAGTGCCTTTTCATGTCTTTGAGATGTCTCAAAACACCTCACTGAATATACTGTAAAGTGAATTGACTTTATTTTGTAGGCAAAATGCAGCAACCAATTGCACACAGCAGTGTCCCTCAAACAGTCATGGATTAAGTGACCAAATTATTATTATTTTTATTTTTTGAAAGGATTATTACCCCGAGAAAAGCTATCTGACAATCAACTAACAACCAGGTTCTTACTTACTACTAGGCGAACAGAGGTGTGTGGAGTGAGAAAATTTGCCCAACTTTTTGTCCTGCCTGGGAATCAAACCCATGTCCTTCGCTTGCGAGACGAGTGCTCTAACCACTAAACTACAGGACTCCAACTGGGTGTCTGACACATGTAGAACACCATTGCCATAGTATCCAAACTAGACTAAGAGTTCTACATATGTATGCCTGTTGCCTAGCATGTCACTTTAAAGCCCAACCCCCAAAGGAGGTTTTTTGATATCCATCAAGTGCAGGTTGAGCACTCACCAGATAGATTAGAGATACCAGTAAGTCCCTGCAAGCTCCCTGACGAGCTTTTACCATCAGTATCCAGTATTATTTTGATTCAGGATGAAGTGTGAATATTTGATTACAGTTAGCTCAGCTCCAAGGAGACCCCACTTACCTACCCCCAAAGAACTAACTAGAAACGACTGGTAATTTGACAATTTGTATTTAAAAAATATTTTTTTTTAGGATCAAAGACGAGATGTTACATTGACGGGGATGGCTGGGGTTAATGGAGATTTGGAAAATCAAGGCTGTCATCCTTTCTATGAGATCCTCACTGACGATCCCTTCATTGACAAAGTAAGTCGAATAAAACATGAGGGAGAGGGGAATAGAAGGGTATGGAAAGAAGTAATGCATGGGTGGAGACTCGTGTGGAGTATAAATACAATAGAAACCTGGTTTGCGGTCACCTTGGTAATCCAGCCACCTCACAATTGCGGGCACATCTTCACAGTCTCTTTCATGGTCTATACTAAAAGATAGGCTGTCTGCTTCAATAAACCGGCCACCTCACTATTCAGGGCAGCAGTCATTGATTGCGGCCGCTACAGCACCTTCCTCTGCTTCAAACCTGATACAAATATCCCCCTCTGCTACTAACCTGTACGCAGGCCTCGGGCTTCTTGCGCTGTTTCCTCACTGCTGCTATGGTGGGTGGAACGGGGAGTGTTGGGATCGCCAAAGTGGCGCAAACGGAAAATCGACTTTGCATGGCGCCTGCAGCCTAACTTGAGCTCCTGCAGCCAATTCTTGCTAAGTGCTGTGAACATGCTACCAACGGTAGGCGTTGTCCTTGCATGAGAGAGTGAACTTAATCAAAAACAGTGAGGGCAAAAGTCATAGACGGTTAGCTGTGCTCTATGGCATTGGCAGAACACAAGTTGGATACATTTTCAAATGGAAGGCTGAATACATGACAGCTTTTGTTTTAAGTGTGACAATACTTTTATTTTAATGAGATTGCAAAGTATGGTTGTTGAATGTTCATCACCAATGCCCTTAACATTGCATCAGTGACCTGAATCACCCGACCTGTTTCAGTAATCAAGTCACCTCAAAAAGTAGATCACTTTTGCCCAGTCACTTGAGTAACCAAATTAGTGAGGTTCTACTGTACCAGCATGGATTAGTGGGCTGAGTGGCCTGATTCTGTACTGTACATTCTTTGTAAAGGTTTGTAATCAATGTGAATTGAAGGAAATAAATTTCCTGCAATGAGTTATTGTTTGAAATTATAATTTGATCCCTGGAGCATGGTATATTCAAAGTTAATTGAGGGCATATGTGTGAGATTATTATAATCGGTTATTATAAATCACCCCTTTCGTATGTAATGAAAGTGCCCTCTGCCATTTGAGGTGGGCAGAGTCTGTCTGCTCCTCCCCACCATGTAATAACGAACAAGGTACTTTGTTAAGTAATGTCACCAATACTAATGGTAACTACAGACTACTTGTATTAAGCAGGGGAGATGAATACAACTGGTTGATTGAATGCCTTGACCTATGGTCTCATTCTCCAGTATTCTTGTAATCTGATTTGCTGATTCTACGAAACTATGTGGGCAGCTGAATAATATAAGCAGCATAAATAGCTTAACAAATCTGGACCAATTCGGCAGATGAGCTAAGGAGTAGTGAATGATTTTAATGTAGACAACAAAAGGAAATGTTTATTGGAACAAAAGCCATAAATGTGTGCACATTGAGTAGATCTTCATCCTTCATCTTCATCCTCTCACCCTCGTTCGCCTCCACTGGTTTCCCATTCCCCAGAGGATCGAATTCAAGATCCTCATCCTCACCTACAAGGCCATTCACGGCCTTGCTCCCTCCTACCTCTCCGACCTACTATCCCCCTACTTACCTGCCCGTACCCTCCGTTCCTCTGGCTCCGGTCTGCTCCAATCCCCCGCCCTAACCGCTCTACCATCGGTGGCCGGGCCTTCAGCTTCTCAGCCCCTAGGCTCTGGAACTCCATCCCCCAGTGCCTTCACCTTGCTTCCTCCCTTTCCTCCTTCAAGGCCGGTCTCAAGACCTTTCTCTTTGACCGTGCCTTCAGCTAATCTCTCAACGCTCTACCCCCTCTTGGCTCCCTCCCTTCCCTCCCCCTGACCATTTCCCCCCTGTTTGGGTCCTGACCCAACTGTCCAGCGCCTTGGGACGTCCTCCCGACGTGAAAGGCGCTCTATAAATGAAATCTTGTTGTTGTTGTTATCGGTGGTGGAAAAGAATTTGGAATTGATTTATTGTTCATTCACTGAAGATTTTTAGGCTTTGGGAAGCTGCTGTGAAGAAAACTAATCAAGTACTTAATTGTATCTTGAGGGCATTTCATTATTGATCACTGGTAAGACCACATTTGGAATGTTAGATGTAGTTGCACACCCAACCTTAAAAATGATATTGGAAATTTAGAGAAGTAATATTCTAGAAGAATGAGATCAAGAGGGCTGAAGTACCTTCTTCATCCAACCATCGCTTGTGAGCTTAAACAAGGATGATTTGGGTAGTTGGAGAACCGTGTTAAATGCTGAGGCTTACACAACTGAACTAGGTGTCATGGGGTGGGTCAGGCAGCGGGGAGAGAATGTCTTCTACCTAATTTTATGTCTCTTCCGTCCAAACATAATGTTGAAGTAAATAAGCTATTTGACTTAATCATTAGAAATGAGAACATTTGGCCTGCCACTGTTCTGTCCCCAACCTGAGAGTAAAATGCAACAGTGCCCAACAAAAAACCTTAGATGCTATGTTGATTGTTTTTGAAGGAATTCATTATACTTCAAATTTGTATTAGAGGATATGTATGAACTTAAGATAAATAATTACTCTATTGGACACAATGCCTTCTGTGATGGCAGGAGCCATGGTGGGGACAATGTTGTCTTTGGAGAAAGAGTCTAGATTTGAATAGTGGGCACTTGGAGATGAACATTATTTCTGAAAGTTGACCAAGCGAGTCTGTTTTAATGTACTTTCACAAAATGTGAATTTAGTTTTGACTCTGTTGTACTGTGGATTGCACTATTCACCGAGCATGCATTGCAGCTGGCTCACGCACGTCGCACACGCTGGCCAGCTTACACACTGAAATGGCCAATATTTTAGCTTTTCAAGTTAAAAATGGTTAACGTCTCGGCCATCAGGTTGCTGCCAATGTCACTTCTTACTTTGCGCATGTGCAGAAAACAGAGAGTGAAGTGACTCAATGACCCAGAGGTTAACCTTTTGTTTTTTATTTTATTGCAAGAACCAGCTGTCACGCAGGGAACAAACCAGTAGGCTGTGCACATATGTAGTGAAACTAGTATTTGTACATCGGTGTAATATAGGATGGGATTTTTTTGACCACTGCTTAAAGCTGTGGATAAAGTTGTACCTTTGTCCCAGGTACTCACTGCTTCAAATCCAATGTGGCGTTTGCTGATCTCAGGTCGGTTGCATGGGAGCTAATTTGGCATGGTCCTTTTCAAAAAGATCAGTGAGGGGAGAACCAGCTAGGATTCCTGCTTCTAAACCCTCTGCAGGTATTACCCAGTAATACTTGGATATTCCAATACTGGATATTCCAGTAGGAATATCATACAATCGTAGAGTGTAGGAAGAGGACGTTTGGCCAATCAAGCCTGCACCAGCTATCAAAGTGTTTGATACACATTTCAGAAAACCGAGGAGGAATATCATTTTTATTTTTGCAGATGTAGATTTTAATCATTTATTTAACAGTTAAGCATTATAAGAGGCTTTGAAGTATTTTTTTCTCCCTAACAAAAATCTACAGTGAAATACCTCATGACTATCAATGAGTATAAAAAGCATAAAGTAGAATGAAATGTATTTCTGTAGAATCAGACACATACAGAAGAAGGAAGGCTATTGAAAACACAGAATAAAACAATGTTAGTCCAGTGCCTAAGGCAATAAATTAGATTGTTGACCAAGTAAGTGCTTTAGAAGTAGAGAAGCATTAAAAGTGCTACATAAAGCGTTCTCTATCTGTAGGATGCCCAATGTCACAATTCATTGAAATGTCATAAATCATCTTTTATAAGTGTGGAGACTTCTCCAATTGATACACAGTGAACTCTATTTAGAGTTGAAACATCAAATTCAGGCTTTTATTTAAAAAGTGACAAAGAGCAAAAGTTCCTGGTGATGTAAAGCTGCAGAATCTTGGACAAAGAAGAAATAACACATCATAGATGGTTGCAAAAAAAACAATGTATTAATGTTTTCTTTTACAAAAAACAGAACATAAGCACCTTTAAAAAGGTGCAAAAGTGCAGTTTCTGTACAGGAATGGTTTTGATTGAAATTTGTTTTGTCAAATTTTGCAGTAGGAGTATTTCTGAACAGCAGAAAATTGGGGTCAACACAGTTTCCAGTGAAACCAAAATATAGAAAATCAAATTTTCACAGAAACAAACAAAAAAAAGTCTCAGCCAAATGTTTAGTGCTTGTTATATTTTAACATGAATAGAATCTTCACACTGTCTTCTGTCAGGCTTTGTCTGTTGTCTTTCAAGAGGTCTGAATAAACAGAAAATGGCCTTTCTACAGTAGTGCTCACTGGTTGCCAAATGTAGTAATTTGCAATTGCAGTAATTTGTGGATCCTGATAAGCTTCCCACCATGTTGCAATGTTGTAATTAGCTGGGGTAGTTTCTGCAAATGCTTTGTAGGCATGCCATTTAAACTTTGAAACACTTAAAAAGCAGGAATCAGTCATGTCACTGTACAGGTCTTTATCGGCATCCAGTGCTGCTAACTGGTGAGGATCAAACATATGAGCTGCTTTGTAGGTATTAATTGATGAGTCATTTTGCAAAATCAACCCTAGCTTTTCACTACTCTCGTGTATGCTTTTCTGGAAGAGATTGACACGTGTCTCTCTCTCTCTCACTCTCAAAAGACTGTACTTCTATGCATAGATATGGCACACAAATCAAGAAACAAATGTAGGTTTTGCACTGCAAGTATAGATTATGGCCCTAAGGCACAGCTTTTGCCTGAAATTCTTCAATCAGGTTTACACACTCAGACAAGTGCTCTCTCACAAATGTTGCTTGGGCTAACAACTCTGCAGCTTTATTGTTCAAGAGATTTTAAATTTTTTTGACTGATAAAGCATCTGGTGCAGTTCAAACACCCCCCGCATGCGATTGCGTATCGAGAACCACTCCGCCACAGCAGGTACCAAAGCCCGGGCATCGAGCAAACCGCACACACTGTAGTAGCAATTGACTTTTACTCGTTTTCGCACCGGAAGGGGGTTGTTTTCGTGAATTCTGTGAA